ACCAGTGCAGAGAACACACTGGTTAGCTCAAGAGGACAGCCCTATTGATGGATATGTTTGTTTAGAAGTATTGCGAGGCTTCCAGTTTGGTAAAATCAGGAATTGTAAATGAAAGATAACGGTGAAACCATAAATTCTGAAAATCTTAATCCTATTATTTATCATGTTAAATTATAATTTATCAGTATAGAAATAAGTATCATAAATATTTATGTGCATTACATTAAATTATAAGTAATGATTATGTAAAAAGTTTATTTTGTAATATTTCTGCGATAACAAGAACCTTTCCTGAAGAATTATGATTATGTGAACTCTCAAACAAAAGACTTTTGGACTGAAATGTTGAAAAAAATCTCTAATAGGACTCTAAAAATTAAGAATTTATTTTTAAAAAAATTGATATTTATAAATAATACATTACAGGTTCAAAATTTTATTATTTATTTATATATTTTTTTTAATTTGCTAGTGTTTTAACTCTTTCTCTTTAAAAAGGCTTCTCTGTCGCTACGTCTTTTTCTTTTTGAAGGGGGGAATATGTAAGATAAAAATGTATGAATCAGAATTATAATATAACTATAAACATTAATTCTTCCTCTCTATTCTAAAATCGTAATAACTTATCTGCATTGCGTCATTCAGATAATCATGCGATCTTACGTAACCGTTAATACCAGATGCCTCTTAACAACCAATCACCGAATTGTAAACCAAAACTTTTCTCTTCGCGTGCTTCCATCTTTCATAACGACGCACTTCAGCTTTTGCTCGCTACTGTGCTAAGATGTGATTTCGCTCGCTTGCTTTCTATCCCAACAATATCAAAAATGTAAATCTTCTGTGGAAGGCACGACTAGAGTGCCAAGTGATTGTGGCCACAAATATCAATTGGAAATAAAAATGGAATTAAAACTGCTTCGACTGCCAAGTTCTTTAAATACTATGCAATCAAAATTCTTCTTCAATATGGATCTAAGCACGCATCTACAGTGTTCCGTCATTTCCTTTGTTTTTATTATTACATACATATATATATAACTTTTCTAAATGTTATTCAATCTTTTAAATAAATTCAATTTAACTGTTTTATCAATTTTTAAATTTTCTCTAAATTACGCCTTAATACAATAAAAGACAACATCAAAAATTTTGTGTCAAAACAGTCCTAAGCAAAATTTGACACTGCTAAACAGTACATAAAATCTACTAATTTATGGATAAAAAACTGAAGCTACAATACTATATCCTATAGTTTCATATAATTTATGCTAGTTGGCTTAAAACTAAATTTTATAATATAAATGGTATAACTAAATGGTATAACTATAGAATATTTGTTTAATAAATTTGAAATTAAATGCACAATTAATAATTTTTGAAGAAGAGCATCTTGAAAATGTTTTGTATAAATTTGTAAGAATTATACATATTTAAAACTTAATGTCAATTCCATCAAAATTCATTTCCATTCATTACTATTTATGCACTTATTTATTCATCCATATACAGTCAAAAGTCGTTAATCCGGACTCGTCGGGACTTCGGCGATTCCGGATTATCGATTTTTCCGGATTACAGATCATCAGTTTAAATCTGGTAAGATGGCATGCAGAAATTACAAAATTAAAAATATGAAACCGTAATAATTATGAAATAAAGAACAATTATGATCTAAAGGGTATCAAAATTTACAAAAAAAAAAAGCTTAATATTTATTTGTTTACTTTATTAAACATTTCTTTCAATGTAAGTTGCTTCGTTTCATGTGATAATACTTTAATTCTATTAAACAGACATAATTTCTTGTTTAGTTACAAAGTTCCGCTTTTCAAGTCCTATAATTGCTGTGTTGAGAATACCGACTAATTTGTCAATCGAAATGTTTTCGTTTTCAATAACCTCTGGGTCACTTTCTTCACTATCGGAAGCGAATTATAATGACGAGGAACTTGATTTAAATCATATCAAAGACGGAGTACATCGAGATGAAATACTACACTTAGTAAGGAATTATAAGCCAAATAAAATAAAAACATCTGCTCTGAAGATAAGGATAGTGCTGACAGATCAACTTCCAATCCGCGGCGTGAAATTGATAAACAGATTTCGGATTTCAAAACATACTTTCGCTTTGTAGATACAAATTACATATTAGTAAATATATATCGGAAATTCTATTTGACATAATCGAAAGTTCAAGCTTACTTTCATGAAATTGCTCTAACAGTCTGCAAAAAATAATAAGCCGGATCCAATTCGAAGATTAAGGAACAACGCAATCTGCTACATTAACTGAATTTTTAGCTTAGCTTATCTTGTCCGTCACACATTAAACGCGCATGCGCACAAACATATTCGCAGACGTAAAGGTCTTACGCGCACTATTAAACGCCTGTGCGCATGCGTAAACGCGACGCATGCGCAGAAAGTTTGTAGCTTTGAGGTCCGGATTATAGATCATTCCGGATTATGGGTGTCCAAATTAACGACTTTTGACTGTATTACTCATCCCCGCCCCAACTCATATATGTATACATCTCCACATATGCAAAAGAACGATTCCCAATGAAAGAGGGACATACATCTCAAAATTCATTAAAGTTTTTGTTTTGATATTAGTATAAAATAAAAATTAAATTTATTAATTCTTAAATACACAAGATCATTAAAAATGCATTAAGAATTTAAATCATAATCGTTTGAAAATAATTTCTCTATTTAATAAATTTTCTGCCTTTCCACGTTCTGAACATGGCAAGTATATCACTTCAAGCAAATCAATATAAAGAAAAAAAAAAATATTATTCTGTGAAAAATATAATGAAGTAGAAATTTTTTCAAAAACAGCGATACTTCTGTCATTGTAGTCTCCTACTTCACAACGCTGGCCAGTTATTGTATAGAAAACACAACTTTATTTATGATTAAAAATTGTCAAATATTTAGTTGCTATAAATGTTTCCAATCATTAAAATAATATTCACTTGTTTAGTTCTTGATCAAAATATAACTTCAGAAAAATGTGAAAGGTACATATGTAAACATATTTAGTCGTACAGGAATTAAACGCTGATTTAGACATCGCACAGTATCTCAATAGCCCTGTTGTTATAACAATTTTCATCGTTATTTCTTTCAAAAATGTGAAGAAAAAGTCATCAGACACATCCACAGACAAACTTTCATTTATTAAACATGAAAGAGGACTTTCACATGAATGACACACAATTATTCATAAAAAAAGTAATTGATATTTCTATATTACAATATTTTGCAACACTAGTTTAATAAATAAATGCTTATTTACAACATTTAAACACTTACAAAATGTAATAACTTATGTTAAAAACTCTTCAAGATAATAGCCTTATTTCAAATTATTATGCATTCCTTGATACTTGAAAAATCTGTAACAACAATATATAATACTATACAATAGTTGTTAGATTTTATTCCTACAGACTGAATAAATAAGATTATTAGACATTTTACAAGACTGCAATTGCCTTTACATATTCAGTCTGCAAAAGTTACATTTTACTGCATTGACAATGTAAGTTGTAATATTTCCAGAAGTTTATTATGCATCTCTGCATAGTAAACTAACTATATATATGCGCAAAATATTTGTATTCTTTTGGAAATTTTCAAGCATAATGGATGCTTATATTTACTTGAAATTTGAATCAATAAGTATGTGTAATTTAATCTAATAACAGCTTTTGAAACTTTTCTTAATCAAAAAGTAAATAAATTTTCATAGAGTTTTCTTCAAACTGATTTATTATTTTATATTGGCAAGTATTAAAAAAACTGAAAATTATTTTTTAAAAGCTGAAGAAATAATATTGTTCATATTTACAAAGAAATTAAATGGGAAGGAAGCTCTCCAAACATATTATAAGCTCTAAAATGTAAATGCTTTTGTTGTTGGTAATAAAAAATGAAAAAACAATTTCCTTTTGAATTGTAAAATATGAATTACAATAAGAATTACTTTCAAGCTAGGAATGTAACTTGAAGTCAAACATTTTATGATATTTACTGCATTTAAATTATTAATGATGTTTACAAATTTCTAAAATTAGGTAATACATAGAAAATATTCATCTGCAAAATTATCAGAAAGAATATTTTTTATATTATATTTTGTTAAGTGAACAAGTTAATGAGCAATTCACAGAAAAAAAATTGATAGAAGAATCGTACATTATCATCAACTTAATTTTTTATACAGTTTGCCAATTCCATTATCTAGCAATGTGATTACTGGGAACATAATCTAACAATGCAACTTTGCTGCAAATGTTCATGGGTACAGTTTGAAAAAAGGATAATGAAATATTCAACTTAAAATTAAATGTTAATTTTTTTTAATGTTGTAAGCTCGTTTGGAATTTGATGTTACATGTCATATCACACAAAGTATCTTACAAAAAATTGTTACATAAAAATTAAATTCATATTTTACTTCTGACAGATGAACAAAAAAATGTGAAATGACCAAAACACAAAAACATATAAAAGATAAGCATTTGTGATCACACAAAAATATCACTGTTTATTCCATAAGGCACGTTATGCATGGAAAATTAATTTCAGAATGACATATTTACATTTAATTAAACTAATTTTTTTCTTCTTTTTTTTAGCAATACTTTTTGTAAGAATAAATTCATTTTAAAATTAAACAAGATTTGAAATTACACAGATTATTAAGAAATATACCATAAAAATGCTAGACAAATTTTCAGACACTCAAAAAACTTCTTATATGCTTGCAATATAAAAATTGCAACAATTTAAAAACTACAGGTATAGATTCAATACAAAAGCTATAAATACAAGAAAAACACAAAATTACAGTTAAATCAGAAGGAAGAATGTATGCTACAAAAATATGCACAATAAAAATTAGATAGAGTTAAAACAAAAAAGACAGCAGCTGTATACTATGAGAAGAATTTGAGGATAAACATAATGTTTCTGTGGAATGCTTTTAACTGGAAACACACTTGGAATGAACTGTACAAAATGTTCATTTCACACTCTCTGAAAATAATACTTTAACTACAGATTCAATACTATATTGTATAATTAAACAGTACCATTCCAATATATGAAGAACTTCTTAAACCTGATGTTTTGAATTTACTTCCTCTTCTCACATCTCCATACTAGGATGGTAAGGATATTACATCACACATGAATGAGCGAGGAACTACATAATCTAACCAAGAATCCTAGTACGGAAACAAGCATATTTATAAAAAATTCCATAATAAATATTATGTATATAAATTATAAAAACAAAACTAAGACATTTTAGCATCGATTTTTACAGCAAAGCTCTTAACTGAAGAAATATTAAAACATTTAAATATGCATTAACTTTTTTATTGGTTTTATATTCAGGGAAAATATGCAAAAGCTCATCAATTTTATTAATTATTAATTTTTAAATAAGTTTGATTCAACAAAAGTCAACAAAAAATAAAAGTGGGGGGAAAAAAATCTGAAAGGTTTCCGATTTTAAATTATGCCCAAAGGGGCTTTTTTTAACATTTTGTGCGTTACCTTTATTTAATAAATATCATGTTCTTTGCACTTAAACTACAAACAGTTCAACAGCAATGTCACAAAATAATTTTTAAATGAGCATATCTTTAGAATTTCCAATACACAGTTCCGCACGCTGGAGATAAAATGGTTGCCCCCCATAGAGTGTTGCCATTACTTGCTTTTGAATCATTCAGTTTCTTAATCAAAAATACATTAAATTTTTACAAAATATGAAATCGATAATACAACAAATTCCAAATTTCAAATTTGGGCTTTCAGATGCCCATATTCGCAGTAAGATTATGTCATTCAAAACTGGATGGCTCTAGTTACTGTTGTTTTATCACAATGTGAGAAACATACATACATTTATGCAGATTCTTCATTATTTCATTTCTTCAAATATAACACAAGGCAATAGTATTTGGTGGCAATGATTTGAAAAGTGATACAGCCTTTTAAAGTTTTCAATGCAAAAGAAAAAATAGTACAAGTTATAAATTAGTCATGCTATAAATGAGCAAAGAACATTGATCTCTTCACTTTCAGCATATCATCTTCAATTTCCCTCTGTACACCCATCATACCATATGCAACATGGGAGCAAAGAGACCTGTACTTTGCTATTTTTATGATACTTTAAACAGAGAAACAGAACATTTTATTTGAAATTTTAAAAGTGAATAAATGGTATGTATTAGAATGCTACGAAATTGAATTAAATCTTAGTGTGGTAACTACATTGCTAGGAATATTATTTATCATTTTACTTGCATAAAACATGTGATGCTGAGCAATATATTTTTTGGGTCTACAAATGATTCACACCGTGAAAGCACTTCTAATTTTTATATACAAGTGTGACAGTGGCATATAAAACATACTGACTTTTTGAATTAAGTTTCCTGCTTCATAAATGAATAGAAATAATTTTAATTCATAGATATAACTATTAGTAATTTCGCAATTTGTCTTATATTTAATTTTTATTCCTTTTTATATACAGGGTGCCTAGAACTAAGAACTATATTTCAAGCTGCCTCGAAGAGAAATCAATCAGAAAACTGAAAATTTTTAGCAGGTTTAATGCAGGGATGGAAATGTCTTAATGTCTTTCCATGTGCAGGGGCATAGTTAGAGAGGGCAAGGGGGCATCTGCCCCCGGGCGCAGAATCCAACGGACGCCAAACTGATATTACGACATTTTAGAATTAAATGTTTTCCATCCTTGGCAAGCAGTAGGGGATGCGAAATATTCAGTTGTCCCTGGGCGCTGAAAACCCTAGCTACGACTCTGTCCGTGTGGGGGGTGCAGTTACAAATATCACACCTGAGGGCATTGTATTAATAAATTTAGCTACACATTTACAATTTCACAAATTTTATTACAACAAAACATGTTCATGTTCCATATGATGGCCATCATTTTTAGCTACCATCTGAAATTGCAAGTGTTATGTTCCACAGTTAACTGTGGTGTGTGCTGGGAAATGTTGAACACGTGGTGAGAAAGACTGGCTTTAAGATCAGGTAAAGTCCTTGAATTGTCTTGAATTACCAGATGTTTCAAATGCCTCCAAAGCTACAAATTGCATAGATTGAGGTCTGAAGATCAAGGAGGCTATACATTACAAAAGTGATGGCTGATGACACATTCCGTAAAATGACATTTAAGAATATTCATAACACACCATACAATGAGTGGAAGAGTTCCATCTTGCAGAAAGATTGTGCATGCAAGGCAATGATGTGCTTGCTTGCAGAGCTGGAACAATTTCAATCTCTAACAGCATATCGCTGCCTGGTGATCAAGCATCCCAATAGACCTATAGAGCTTAACTTCATCAGAGAAGTACAGGTTGAGAATAAATGATACAGAAAATCCAAACCATGCTGTCATTTTTGGAACCTTTAAAACAGGGCATGGATTTTCTGGCTATCAAACTTGGCAGTTGTGAGTATTCACTGCACCATCCAAATGAATATACATTTTTTCTGTCCAAAGGGTATTCCAAGGCTATTCTGAATTGGCCTTAAAACAAACAAGAAAATGAGGTGAGAAGAGTTGAGTATCAAAACTATGGAAGAAACAGCTGCACCAGTGAAAGTTTGTGAGGATAACATTAAAGGATATTCTGCAATATCTTATGCACAGTTGAATGCAGCTAGGGCCATTCCTAGCAGGGGGGTGGAGCACATAAAAGTACACAAAGGGGAAAAATCAGGGTCAACTGGACTCTCGCAACAAAATGCTTAAATATTTTAAATTAATTATAAGCACTTGTCATATGAAAATACTTTTTATAAAATTTCTTATATGCAAGTACTTAGTGAGTATAAAATAAAATGTTTATTAATCATTAAGCCTTTTTTTTTTAAATTTAGGGGTGGCAATCTTAGGAAAGTACTCAGGCAGCCAATGGCCTAGGAATGGCCCTGAACGTAGTGCATCCAATGGCTGTACTACACACTAGACACTGGTGCTATTCTAAAAGTTTGAAACTGCATTCTATACCACCTGAAGTGTAACCTCCTGTACTGCTTCTACTGAAACTGGTTTTCTTCCTCTTTCGGGAAGAACAGAAAGTGATCCTGTTCTTAACATTCATTGGATCTCTCAGAATCGCCCTTCAAACTCCAATATTTCCATAAAGCAGGAATTAATGCTTTGGTAAAATAATTTTACTAGCAAAGCATGATCTCGCAAACTTATCATTATTGAAAGCAGCAAGCACATTGAAAGCAAAATCTCCATGAACGTTTCTAGGTTTTACAACAGCTGCTACATGATGTTGACAAAGATTTACATTTTTACTACAGGTTTCCAAAGTAAAATGCTGTCTGGTAATGTTATTTGCAATTTTTTTTTTTTTTTTTGAAGACATTTCTTCATTAAGTCTGCAAAAAAAAATTTAAAAATTTTCTAACAACTGGTTTTGCCTGTAGGTAGTTTTGAAATAGGGTTCTTCAGTTCTGAACACCCTATATGTATGTGTGTGTGTGTGCGTGTGTATATACATGTATACAGGATAATGTAACTTAGTGTAATTAAGTAACATATGCAATAATAAAAATATTTTAATAAAAGGCCGGATTTTACAGAAATTTTTTTACATGTTAGGCTTATGCATAAAATGCACACCAGCACACACTAGTATTCAACACTCCCAATTTATGGGCTCATGGTGAAGCTTCATTTTTCACCATTTCATTTCATTCATTGGGTGCGAAAAAAAAAGGTTAAACGAGTATTTAAACTAGTATTTCAATTTCCTAAATTTAAATGCAAAAATTAAGTATCCATGAGTTACATGCTTCCTTTCTATCAATAATCACACATTTATTCCTAGAACGTTGCTTAACTTATCCTGCTTCTAAAAGTCTTCTTTGTGTTAATCTTATGGAATTTTCTCTTGCTGAATATTTCAAAAAAACATTTAATAAAAATTAAGGCTATTTGGAAGTGAATGAATAATATTTTGATTCAAAAGAATGAATATTATAATTTAGAGACTAATAATTTAAAATTGATGGAATAAAAATAAGTGTGTATTAATCTATTAATTTTCTTAATGAAATATCTTTAAAATATCAGCTCAAGATTAAAAAAAAAATCAGTTAAAAATAACCACAAATGCAGCAAAATACTTACTAAAGTCCTGGGGCAGTTAATTCTGGCATACCATTCTAGGCTGTAGAAAACAGTCAAAATTCCCCAGCCTTGGAACATAGAAATCCACAAGAAAACATTCCAAAAACTAGATGTTCTTCTTCTTGTTATAAACACTAATATAACTGAAAGTATATGTTAAAAATATCTGAATTAGTTAATGGAACTATATTATGAAAGCTTATCACACAATTCTCAAGTAGTTATTGTAATTAGTTCAAGGGTTATTTTTATTAGTTAAGAAATTTCTTGTGTTACTGTGATATACAGCATAAATTTCTTCAAAATAGTACAGTAAAAATGATATTAATCATAAATATAATTGGCAATGTATGTTATATGGAGCACAGATGAATAAGCTGATGGTTAATTTTTTACTGTGCTTTCTGCTCATCCACAACCTTCAAAAGAATTAAGCAATTCACTGTCACCAAAATAAGCAACCCATAACATCAGCAAAATATATTTATGGGGCAAGGTATGATATGCACATGGCAGACCAGCAGACTTTTCAAACTTTAAATTCAACAGCCATTACTGCTTTTGTTGCAGTGAGTGCATTTTCCTTTTTAAAAGGAATCATAATGGGACTGTGGAGTTTGCTAGCTGATAAAAAAGAATGCATTCCATTTCTTCAGAAATATGGCATTTTGTCCAACAGTTAGAGAATGCTGCAAGAATTCACAATCTATGAAGTTGTAATTCATTTTTGATCCATAACTGTACAATTCTTTGATTTTTTTTTTTTTTTTTAAATAAAGCAGATCGCTGTGTATATGGAAAGAACAAAAGCATTCACTATGACAAATTTATTAAATTCTCAGATTTTTTTTTTTTTTCTTTTAAAGGTGCAAACAGTTTACTATGTTCAAGGGGAGAACTATAGTATGCGCAATGCCAAGTATCTGTAATTCTCTAATGTTTCTTTAAGCTAAAACAGATTGCTATGTACACAGGAATAACAGTGGGGAAAAAAGGTTAAGTATTCTAATATGGATGTTTCTTGCCTTTCTGATTTTCTTAACTGCTGTTTTATGTAACTCATACTGCTATTTTTTTAAATAGCTGCTGTCTTTTGTGACTTACTAGTTACTAATTGGTGAAAAAATATTTACTAATGGTTAGAGCTCTTTTCAAAGTTGGGCGGATAATACAAAAATACCTTTTATTAAGAAATTATTTATAGAGGAATGCCAACAGTGATTAATATACAAAATGCAAAAAATGCACAAAATTAAATCATACAACTTTGATTAAAATTTATATATTCAACTTTTTATATCTCTTTTTGGAGACAAGTAAGTTAAAATTATTTTTTTATTCTGACATATTTTAGGTTGCTTTTCAAATTTGTAAAATTCACATTTTTCAAATTTATCATTCCTTCAAATGTAAAATTCATATCTTTAATGACAGCCATTAGTTTTAAAATAAATTTTGACAATTTTTAATGATATAAAATGTAAAAGAAATAAAAACTCGAATAAAGTAATAGAATTTAGTGTTCAAAAGTTAATCTTCATTTGAAAATTTAATTATAAGTTCTAAATTTAGTAAAAAAATAACAGAGGAATGCCAACAGTGGCTAATTAAAAATTACAATATAAATATAAGAAATAAACAAATTTATTTCTAATATTTATATTGCAGTTTTTGATAGAAAATTTTAAATATTTTATTTCTCAAAGAAAAAAAAAAAAACTTATAACAATACAAAGTTAGAACATGCTATTCATTTTCATAGTATGAAGGTGAGAAATAAATTGTTTTTTCACAAAAACTATAATAAAAGTGTTTATTAATTTTAATGTAAGTATTGCAAGCATGAAATGAATTAGTAAGTGTAGATATACTGAAAATATAATTAGTATCCTTATCTATTTCTATATTTGCTATTTCTATTTATAGTACTAGCATGAAACTTTGGCTTCAGTTTTAAATGAAAAAAATGTTTTTACACAAAATATTTTTCGTCAACTTCCACAGCTAATTTTAACTATTAGAGTAACTTGTATGTTACACATTAGCTTGGTGAAACAAGCTTGCAAACACTGAAAAAATTTACAAAAATTTATTAATATTACAACAGCATTGTGATTTTTTTAGCTTTCACAATTTATTTTCAGTTATCTAAAAACAGGAATTTAAGATAATACAGAAATTCATTAACTTTTATGCTATGTGTAAAAGTAAGTAACTTTTATAATGTATTTTACCCACTGCATTAATTTCCTTAAGTATTCCATGTGAATTAACATCTTTTTTTGAACTACTAGCAAAATGTATACAGTAAATATCTACTTTAAATACTTCAACTCAACTCAAAACAGAATATACAGTTAAAAAATGTGCAGTGAATGCACTTCATATTAGACATACAATGTTTATAAATTAAAAGGAAAAAGATTTTCTACACTTGAAAAAAAGTAGAAAGACCAAGTTATGAGGTCTCTAGAAATTATTTTCTTTAATTATTTAACTTATATTAAAACGAACAAGTTTATGAATGTTTTCATATCTCACAAAATGTAGGATTCCTCAAAAGTCCTCTTTTAATTTCATTATAACTAGGTAACAAACTGAGATATTTTAGTGAAATAAAATTTGCACTGTGCAGTTGTCTTTAAAAAGTTATCTTATTATAGCAATATTGCATGCTGAAATGATAACATGACCAAGTAGCATGTTGCTGAACTTTGAACCTATAGTATCAGTACTCACTGCTTCATCTCCTAAATTGAAACTTGAATTACTCATTCCATGAACGGCTCAAAATGCAATGTTGCAGATTAAAATCTCAAAGACTGAGTTCAGATTTTATTTCAATGAAATATCTCTGTTCATTACAAAGTTATACTGAATTTATATGAGGGAAGGACTTCTGAAAAAACATATTAAAAATTTCAGCATAATTTGACATTAGGTACCCGCTGTGGTGTTGTAAATTAAGCATTTTGGAAATTATCCTTTGTAACTCTTTTCTAGTAACTCTAGCAATGCCAAGTCATGACCCAACCACGGCCAAAAACAATATCCTACAATGTATTTTTCTAATTATTACTCTCTCTTGTGTGCTTGTATATATCTTTGATGCATCCATCTCTTCTTATCACTTGAGTCAAAACTGAATATGATGTGTAAAAGTACACATTCCTATTATTAATAAATACAGAATGAAACACCCCTCAATATAAGATTTTATTTCAGAGATTTAACCTGTGCTGCCAGACCCGTGAACAAAGGGTAAGCAAAATTTGCTATTTTTATCATTACTGATTATAAGACTCATTGACCGAGTTATACCTTCATTGACTAGTGATTCAAGTCCTAAAATCCCGGAATTAAAATTAAAAACTGTGCATATAATTTATAAACTTTCAGAAACTGCTAAAACAAGACTTCATAACAGAATTAATAGGTCTTAAAGATCCAATGCAAATAACAATACTGAATACTGAGCATTATGCTACTTGAAAATTCAAGATTCAAATGCTTGTAATGTCTGACAGATTGAATATCTTCTTTCTTATTCCCTACTTAATAAACTTGATGATGAATTTCTAAAAGGGGATAAACAAGCACAAGCTATAATAAATCTTTGCATTGATGACTCTCAGACTATCCATGTTAAAGATAAAATGAGTAACTTCAATGAAAGTCAGTTCATGAGTGCTCCAATTTGAGCAGCAAACCATATCTTCCAAGAAAATTATACTCGATAAAAATACCTGAAGATGCTGATATGAACGTGCATATCATTCACATGATGGGTTAAGTCAAAAGACTGAAATCTATCAATGACAACATTCCAGATCAACATTTAGCAGCACTTTTATTAGTTTCAATTCCAAAATCATACAATGATCTCATAATTGACCTAGAAGCCAGAGAGGAAAAATATTTTCGTAAAAACAAAACTCTCTCATGAATGTAAGAGAAGACTAAAGCAACAGGTAGATTAAATTTCTAATTCTTCAATGGCATTTAAATCTGCAATAAATGGAAAAAATTCTAATAATAATATGTCATGGAAATTCTATACCCCCTTTTTTTTTTAACCCTTTGACAGCACGGTCGTCGTGCCTTGAAACCACCAATTTTCGAATTTTTTTCTCCTCTTTCTTCCAAAATTTTTGAGTGAAAATCAATTGATTACTGATTGTTTACCTCTAAATAACGCAAAATGACTACAGAATCATACATGTTTTAGGTCTTAGTACTTCAAATCGGATGCCTTTTAAAATTCTGTTTTCAATGAGACAAAATAACTTCCTTTTATTAATATAAACAACTTTAAATTTCAAAAGTTAGTCATCGCACATCATGATTTCTATCATAAACAATAAAAATAGAAATAATTAAACTGCATTATAAAAAAAAAAAAAAAAAAAAAAAAAAAAAAAAAAACCCTCTATATGTATGGCATTTGCTTTGCGGTTTCAGGGTGTGACCACTGCGCCACTAGAGCATTGTGTACACAATGCACTAGAGGCTCGGTGGTCGCACATTGAAATCACTGCTCTTCACAATGGTGTTTGCTTACTTCTCAAATAGGAATGTTTATTTTTACCCAGATATAGGTAAGGGGTTTTAAAGCCACACAGTTATTTTATTACTAAAACAATACATGCACCTGCCCAGTAAAAAGGTCTTTCTTTTCCGGAGACTTTTTTCTGACCTCAACACACTTGCTCCCCAAGCTAGTATTGTGATTTTTTTCCTGTGGTTTAAATTTAATGTAAATATACTTTGCTGTAATTAAAAATAGAAATCATGTAAAGTTTAACATAACATAAAAAGAAACAAATTTCATATGCCAGATGAAAAGAAATTAAATAACACTGGACATATACCAGTGAAATTTAGATCCAATCGGTGTACATTTTGTAGCACAAGGAAGAAACATCATAGAAGAAGATATGTGTACAAAACGTGCAATGTGGGTCTATGCATGTACCAAAAAGGCAACACATGCTTTGAACAGTGTCACAAAAAATATTTGTTCTTTGAAATAAAAAAAAAAAAAAAAAAAAAAAAAAGTCTTTTTTTTTTATCCTTATTTTACTGAGTTTTTTAATCCATGTAGCCAAATGTCCTTATTATGTAAGGTACTTATACTTTCACTGCTATAGAAAAATTACATGAATGTTTATTTTTTAATTTTTTCTGACGATTTAGTTTGTAAAATTATGTAAAAAATATATATATTATGCCATTCTTACATGCATTTTTTAAAAAATTCGTAAATTTCTTCATTTATTGGAAATGCGCACGGAGAAAGGTAAGTTTTTTTTCCTACTACCTAGGTAAGTTTCAAAGTCTTAGACGAGCGGTGGTTTCACAGTGTGACCACCACCCACAAAACAATGGGCAAGTGTAGATTTTTTTAAATTCATATATTATTTATCTCTAGAATCATAATACTCGATTTCTAGAGTTTTTAGTTAAAAAAATTATAAAAATAATATTGTGCACATCAAAGGGTTAAATGCAGTAGTCATACTCATGAGCATTGTTTCAAATTAAAAAACTAAAATAATAATTCTTGTCCTGATAACTCAAATCAGAAACTAGAGTGACCAAACATGTCGAAACATTGCATGAGCACTGAGATTTCTAATGAGCGAAGCTGTGAATCAAGTGACAGGTCTTAACTGGCACCAGTTGAAAGTATTATCTATCAAAAGGGTTAAATAATTACTCCAGGGTACTGCTCAGAACAAAATATAAATAAAAAAAAAAAAAAAATTGTACATTGATTCTGGGGTGAGTATGAGCTAATAGGAGATAAAAGTTTATTTAAAGAGCTGATATACTATGTTGATTTGCAAGCAAGAATCATTTTAGGAGATAGAAAAATTTTATATCCACAGAGCAGAAACCTTGATTGAGAGGATGATTGCAGGTTGCAGAAAATTAGATTGACTAACATTTATTACTTTTCCGATTTAAAAAACAATTTAATTTCCATTAAGCAAATTGCTAGTAAGGGATATTCTGTTACTTTCAAAAAAAGAAAATTGTTTTGTCAAAAAGGATAGCTAAATAATTATGCACACATATTCCAATGATAATAGTTTATATAAAACTGTGAAACAAAAATCCAGAAAATTCTAATATTGTTATAGAATGCAAGTATAAAAAATGTATACAAATGTGACATTCAAGGTTAGGCCATTGAAGTTATGATGCACTCAGACAATTAGTAAGAGAAAATCTTGCCAAAGGAATAAAATAGATAATTCCACTCATAATGATAGCTGTTCAGAATGTATAAAGAATAAAATGCTGCAAATTCCTTATTTGAAAGCTGCTAGTGTTAACACAAATAAACCAGTTGAAATTATAACATAATGTTATTTATGGACCTATGCCCCCTCCACGTATTGGAGGAAAACTTTATTTCATAACTTTTATTGACAGCTTTACAAGATACACCATAATCTGTTTGGTTGCTGAAAAGAATGAAATTCTTAGTAAATTTGCCAGTATAACAAACAAATTTGGAAGAACCATACAGACCTTCTAAACTGATAATAGTGGAAAATATATTGGTAAAGAAATGGAGAAATTTCTATCAAGTAATGGCATTAAACATCAACTTACCACTTCTTTTTCCCGTCCTCAGAAGGCTGTGAATGAAAGAGAATATAGATGTGTTACTGAGATGACCAGGTGTTTACTGTCCAAGGCCAACTTTCAAACAAATTCTGGGGGGGGGTAGCTCTTAATACAGCAAATTACACCCAGAACCAGCTTCCAACTAGAGCATGTGATACGAGTCCCTATGAATTATTGATCAAGAGAAAACCTAATCTAGCTCACATGAAACAACTTGGTTACACAGCATATGCATATGTGCATAAGGAAAACCAAAGGTTGGTTTGGTTTGGTTTATTAGATTAAGTCAAAGCACTTGACTATCTGTCTTAAGGGAGAGATGCCTTCATGGAGGACTTTTTAAGGGAAACTGGCTCGTATAGGATAACCAAAGGAAATGAGACCAGAAAGCAACTGAATGAACTTTTATTGGTTACAATCAACAATCAAAGACGTACAGAATCTACATACGCAAAATCTGTATAATTGTCAGTTAAAGCGTAAAACTTGTTGAAGAATCATCAGTGACTAAAAATATTGAAATATCCCTCCATCCAAAGGCTGAAGACTACAGAAACAATGAAAAAAAACTGAGAGAAAAAAAACCTACAATTATATCCAAAGAGTGAAGATGATAGCAAAGGAAAAGCATAAACCACCAGAATGCCTAAGATTCTTAACAAATACAACAAGACACATACCTGAGACTTTTAAACTCTTGGATAAGTTGAATTCCAAAAAAAATGTAAAACGGTTACTCACAACTGATGAAAAATCAATTTATTATCCCAAAATAAAACTTGAGAACTGGTTGAACTTCCTATGGGAAAGACACCTATTGGATGTCAATGGATTTTCAATGGATTTTCAAGCTGAAAGAAAATGAAGACAGAACAATCATTCATTACAACCATGACTAGTTGGAAAAGGTTATAGCAAAAAGTTTGAAAATGACTACGACTATACCTTTGCACCAGTAGTTCAATGTACAACCATCAAAGCCTTTCCTGCTGTCGCAGCATATGGTAAAATATACATGAGGAATCTAGACATGACTAAAGCATTCCTACATGGAAATTTAGAACAGGAAATATACATGCAACAGCCAGAAGGCCCAATTCAATCAGGAGAAGAAAAGATTTACAAATTGAAATAAATTCTTTATGGTTTCAAGTAGGTTGCTACAGCATGGAATAAAAAAGTCAAAGAAATTTTAAAAAAAAAAAAATTCTCAGAGTACCATAGGCCTATGCTTATTTTTAAAGAATGATGGGAATGACACGATAATGATTACTGTGTTGTGGCTCATAAAACTTAAAAAATGAATACCGTAAACTTATGCTAAGAAAGAAAAATGTTAAGAAAAACAAATGTTAAGTTACAGTTAAGAAAAATTTGGTATTAATTATTCCAGATAAAGCTATGAACTGCTGTATTATCATACAAAAAGAATATTTTGCCAAAATAAGACAGATAAAAATACTTTTTTCAATATTCTTCAGGCAAATATTAAATATTACTTACTTCCAAAACTTGAAAACAAGAAGAACAACAAAGGAAACACAAATTTAAAGCACATGGCTAAAATATATTCGTGAATTATCGCAGATATCATAAAAACCACTAACATGGCACCAACTCTACTCTGGCCTAGTAGCTGAAAATAAAAACCAAAATTAATCTATTTGTGAATGTTTACCAATTGATAAATTAATTTGCATCCTATAAAACACTAAAAGGAGAACTGCAGGAAAAAATAAATAAATAAAATAACATTATTATTGGCAACAAAATATCAAATCCTTTAAAAATATGATAAAATCTAACAATTTTCTTTGAAAATGAACATCGTGCATTAGCTTTCTACCTGATATCCTATATATGTTTTTGCTATCTTTTTATAAATCCTAGAAAATAAGTGAATGACTCAAGTTCAAACTGCATGTATGCATGCAAAATATTCAAGTATATTAACATCATTACTTCTAATAAATACTAGGGCATTCAAATATACCCTTAATTGCACAATTTTTCACACAGCAGTACACTAATACTACTAGATACTTTTCTGCGATAAATTAAGTTACTTTAAATATTCATTCTATTCATGCAGTGGGAGCTTGATCTCATCAACCATATGTGATAACTGTAAGAGCATGAGTAAGCAGGAAGCATCTCAATCCATGGAATAAAGGATTATTTTTTAATCCCCCCCTGGATGGGAGGAGAACCTCAAGCTCCTTGATTTTTACAAGCTTCACAGACAATATGAAGAACAAACTATCATATTTAAGCAGGTGAAACATGCAGACATATATTAATTATACTCCAAATTTATCCCATAGTATTTCCCAGGGTCATTACAGTAATTTAAGTATAAATACACACCCAACCAAACACCTCCTTTGAAGAGGAGATAACACAGAGATGACAATATTGGTAAAGATCCATTAAATGCAGAGAATTTTTTCCAAATAATGATATCCTTTCCAAGTACATAACCATTCTACTTTCACAATCAACCTATTATATTTTGATTTTGAACTGTTAAATAATGTTTATTAGATATTTAATAGATATTATTATCACCTTTCTTTTTTAAATAAAACATTCTCACCAAGTGCAGACCAACCCCTTCCTGGTCTGTTTTGTTGAAGTAAATCCACTAAGCATCACAGGCGATAAGCCAGTACAGAATTTTCTCCTTGTGTTGATGTTTGAGCAGATTAGTTGCAGGCCCGATTATGTCCGTCATCTGAGTAGTCAGCTCATGCAGCACCCAGTTACTGAAATTGTACATCAAGTTTATGCAGTGCCTAGCACGACTAATGGACATGGCACTAACATCTAACTCCTTAGCAAGCTCTCGCATGGTTGCATACTGATCTTCTTCCACAAGTTCTCATAAGCTCATCAACATCAGTAATCCAGCCAGTGCACTCAGCTTCTTAAATGTCATAGTCCTTGTTTTTGAATTTTTGGTACCAAACCTTCACAGTGTCATATGATACAGAATTATTACCTAAAGCTGTACACATGATTTTGTGACATTCTGTAACTGACTTTTTGCAACAGAACTGGAAGTAAATGATGGTTCTAATCTGGTAACATGATACAGTCAAAAGTCTTTAATCCGGACTCGTCGGGACTTCGGCGATTCTGGATTATAGATCATCAGTTTAAATCTGGTAAGATGGCATGCAGAAATTATAAAATTAAAAATATGAAACCATAATTTATAAAATAATGAGCAATTATGATCTAAAGGGTATCAAAATTTACAAAAACAGAAGCTTAATATTTATTTGTTTACTTTATTAAACATTTCTTTCAACGCGCGCATGCATAAAGCATACCTTACACATAGCCGAAATTAGAAAATTGCAACCAGAAAACTATTTTATTTGTATTCGTGATATTTATAATGACGAGGAATTTGATTTAAATCATATCAAGAGATTAAATACTAAAATTTAGTAAGGAATTATAAGCCGAATAAAATAAAAACATCTGCCCTGAAGATAATGATAGTGCTGACAGATCAACTTCCAATTCTTTGCGCGCCACGAGGCACCACCCCTTCCCCGCGCAGAGCAGCACGAAATTGATAAACAGATTTCGAAACAGTTAGATAAACAAAGGATATACCTTTATCCATTTTTTGTAGCAATTCGTTTTTTGTTTGATGGACATCGAAACATACTTTCATTTTGTAGATCCTTTGGGAGCTCCAGCATCGGAAATTCTATTTGACATAATCAAAAGTTCAAGCTTACTGTTATAAATTGCTCTTACAGTCTGCAAAAAATAATAAGCCGGATCCAATTCGAAGATTAAGGAACAACACAATCATCAACATTAACTGAAATAGATAATTAGATAATTTTAGCTTATACCATCCGTTATACATTAAACGCGCACGCAAAAACGTATTCTGCGCTTGCTCAGACGCATATGCGCAGTTGTAAATGTCTTGCGCGCACGCGTAAAACGCCTATGAGCATGCGTCAATGCGGCGCATGCGCAGAAAGATTTCAGCTTTGAGGTCCGGATTATGGGTGTCCGAATTAATGACTTTTGACTGTAGTTCCATTTCATACACCTTGTGCTTAATGATAACGATATTTTTTTACAAATTTCACAGCAAAGTGCTTTAAAGCAAGTCTCTTTCTTTCAAATGCCAAAAATCGTTCGACAAAATATGATTAAATACACAAACACAAACTGCTTGTGCAGATGATATTTGTAATGGCAGGAAACTTTCATTAAAACCCGATACATAACTTAATTTTGTAAATGTTTAGAATAAAAATCTAGTTATAAAATATGCACATACATAAAGAGTTTATCACAGAAGAATTTATATGCATATTCATTAATGTGCTATAATGAAACCATGTTGTCAGGCCAAAGGGTGTCCAAAATTTTTTTAAAGAGATAATTTAATTCATAAAACAATATTTGACTTTTAGCCTCATTTTATTTGTATGCACCTCCTGTTTTCCTCCGTTAAAAACCATAAATAGTCTTTAGATGCTTACTTATTATTTATTTTACTTTTCCTTCTTAGTCTAACTTTAATGAATTTTATTTTACTACCTGAAATTTTCAGAACTCTAAAATCTGCACTACCTCTAATGCGAAAATGTGAATATTTCTGGTCTTCCACTATATTAGGAAATAACTAATTTTTATTTTTTTATTTAAAAAAAAATAATGCAGATTTCATCTCTAAATAAAAGAATCTGAAGACATAAAATAAAATAAATAATGTGATAGCTAACATAACATATTTATACATATTTTACAAAATTAAGGATAAAATATTACTCACGGTATACATGTCTCGGTAAATGTAAGAATATAGCCAGTCATAAACCACCATGTTCCAGGAACGATAATATTTGGCAAAAGATGTGCAATTCCACCAATCCTGTTCAAAATAAATTAAACTAAAGCCTATGTAACCTAGATAGAACGTAATATTTCACACAAAATTTAATTTATGAACATTATTTAACAATTTAACAACTTTATTTTCAAAAAGGACAAAAAACAACTTATTATATATATGAGAACTTCTTATTATATATATGATATTAAATTTCCTGCAACCATATGCTCATACTGTCTTTGTGATGCAATTCACATACAGGAATTTTGAGGACAATGCAAAATAACATAAATGTATAATAATAGATTGAGAAAAAATTAAGTATAAAAATTTAAATCTTACATCATAAAACATTCGATCTCCAAATCTCAGCATTTCAGCAAAAGCATTTAACCAGCAATGAAACATTCCATAGAATACTAGGAACATAAGTATACCACCAGCAAAAATGGAAGTTGCCAATATGCCCATGAAATTCACTAATGGTATAGGTTCAATACCTGTCTTATCGAACATGTCTACAATAAAATATGTACAAGGTATATAAGCACCTATTATGCAGCCCAATACTTGTAAGAAATTCCATGTTACGTATCTCCATCGAACAATGGGAGTTCTGGGGAAAAAAAAGAGCCAGTATTAAAAATTTACCTAATTATTTTTTGATTATCAGATGAAAAATCAAATTATGTTACTAAATTATAGAATGCAAGAAAAAGGAAAAACACCTGAAGGGAAAACATACCTTCAGAATATTTAAAAATCAGATATAGATAATTCTAAACTAACTAATTATTTAAAATATAGTCATGTAAACTTTTTTTTTTATTTAAAAATAAAAAAATTTCAAAAGCAAAAATATATCACAATTCTTTATGCAGCAACAAAATACCATAATTTTGGATAGATAAGCCACCCTGGAAAATGTGATGTGAGTAAAAAGTGATTCATTAAATTATATATCACAAAACTGGAAACATAAATATCTAGTCAGAAACAAAATTATAATGTACTATCTTAAATATACACTTAAATATAATTTTTTTTAGTTGCTTTTGTAAATGAAAGCTTATTTAAATTTGGAAAAATATAAGATTGGAAACAATGAAACCAAATAAATGTTAAATGTGTACTTTGAGCCAAATGAGTGATAGAATTTGAACATGGCTAACATATACCTCAACACTGGAGATTTCCTTAATATATTATACAGCAGACACCCATAACATTCTCTACTGATGCCAGATACATAAGCTCCATCTTTTACAATTAAGAAAAACATTAATGTCGCTAAATATTAAGACTTAAAAAGTTAAAAAAAAGTTACATTTTTATAAACAAATATTATCAGATGTGCAAATACAAAAAAATAAAAAATAAAAAAAAAAAAAAAAAGCTATCTTTGTTTTCCTCCTGATGGATAATTTATTTCATTTCATGAAACACTGGGTAGGTTATCAAAATTTTTAATACTTGTTTCTGCAATTACTTTTGCTTGAGGGCAAATTCTAGCTATTGACACTGATACTTCCTTCTCTCTCCCCTATTGTCTATTTCTAATGGTCTTCTGAAACAGACCAGGCTATGATGCCAGTTCAACAAGTTCTTTTATTCTTAGGCATTTTCTCTAATTCTTCTTGTTCAGACTTTCTTCACCGAGTACTTCTTTCGAACTTGAAATTCTCTAGCTACAGCCCGATTTCCAATTACTATTACAGTCAAAAGTCTTTAATCCAGACTCGTCGGGACTTTGGCGATTACGGATTATCGGTTTTTCTGGATTATAGATCATCAGTTTAAATCTGGTAGGATGGCATGCAGAAATTATAAAATTAAAAATATGAAACCGTAATTTATGAAATAAAGAGCAATTATGATCTAAAGGGTATCAAAATTTACACAAAAAAAAAAAAAAAAAAAAAAAGCTTAATTTTTATTTGTTTACAACATTTCTTTCAACGCGCGCATGCATAAAGCATACATTATGCATAGTCGAAATTAGAAAATTGCAACCAGAAAACTATTTGATGTGTATTCATGATATTTATAATGAGGAGGAATTTGATTGAAATCATATCAAAGACGGAGTACATCCAGATGAAGTACTACATTTAGTAAAGAATTATAAGCCGAATAAAAAAAAATCTGCCCTTAAGATAAGGATAGTGCTGAGATCAACTTCCAGTTCATTGCATGCCGCGACTCCCCCTCCCCCCGCAGAGAAGCATGAAATTGATAAACAGATTTCCGAATGGTTAGAGAAACAAAGGATTTGCCTTTATCCAATTTTTTGCAGCAATTTCACTTTTTGTTTGATGGACATCGAAACATGCTTTCACTTTGTAGATCCTTTGGCAGCTCCAGTATCGGAAATTCTTTTTGACATAATCGAAAGTTCAAGCTTAGTTTTATAAAATTGCTCTAACAGTCTGCAAAAAATAATAAGACAGATCCAATTAGAAGATTAAGGAACAATGCAATCTGCAACATTAACTGAAATAGATAATTAGATAATTTTAGCTTAGCTTATACCGTCTGTTATACATTAAACGTGCATACATAAATGTATATGCGCATGCGTTTACGCATGCTCCGAAAGTTTGTAGCTTTGAGGTTCGGATTATGGATTATTCTGGATTATGGACGTCCAGATTAAAGACTTTTGACTGTGCTTTCTTCATTGCCCAAAAGCTTAAAAGCAGCTGCATAACTTTTTCTTCAAACAATAATCATGATTTTAAAAATTCTACAAGTACGAACGATAAAGTAAACACTGTAACAAGAAAGTAATAACCAAGCCATAAAGCAGTGATACACATATAAGAATGAACACAGAACTTGGTAATTCCTAAGGTCATTGAGACGAAAATGGTCTTCAGAAAACACAAACAAAGTGATGAAATTGAGCAGAAAGTACATGTATTATGGTGTCTTTAGACCAAACCCAGGTGAGTTTCATGCAAATTTGAACATGTTGCACTGCTTTAGCACAACCCGAGCACTCGTATCTGGCTAAAATGTTGTAATGAATTTTACATTAACTGTTTAGCTTGTGCATAACTTAACGATCGAAATCAGTGATACTCTAAAGACAGAAGAAAAACAAAATTCCTTCAGATATGCTGCAGACTTTCATTTTCAACTTTTAAATACACATAAAGCCATGACTTGTCCAACCAAAATTATAATATTTAAACAATACATACCGTGGATAATGATCCCGATACACTAAAGTTGGGGCAAATAAGAAATATATTAATTTTTGTACTTCTGGACAAGGTTTGGAAATTTCTTCATCTTTATCACCATCTGAAATTAAATACAAGATATTTTTTTTTTTACAAATTTTATACTAATTTCAACAAAAATCACAGATAATTCCTATTATAATGAGTACAATTTTTAATTTCTAAATGGCACTATTCAAATTAATGCATAAATAAAATTACATTTTTAGTCAAATATTAGAATATTTGAAATCAATTAAACATCATGTCAAAATTCAAAATATGAATTAGGAATTTAACTACAGTAAAATATTTGATTACAGTAGTTAGTTTTGAGCAGAGAATGGTATGTTATTTACTCTTTCTTTCACTTCAAAATGTTGAGAAAACTGATTCCTGAAACAGGTCATTCATTAGCTGTAACTGAATTTTCCATGCATTATCAAAGTAAATTACTATTGTCAAAACCAGTGGTGTAGCTAGGGTGGGGCAAGGGGGTACATCTGTCCCCGGGCGCAGCATCCAAGGGGCGCCAAACTGATGCTACAAAATTTTTTAATGGAATGTTTTCCATTCTTGGCACACAGAAAGGGGTGCAAATTCTTCAGTTGTCCCCCAGGCGCTGGAAACTCTAGCTACGCCCCTGGTCAAAACAACAGTAAAATAATTTATGCTATATTAATATTGAATTCTAGTTAAAGTTCATTAACTTTATCATCTCTAAAATCAACAGTTATTCTCAAAACAAACATTTTCTCTTTATGTGTTATAAAAAATTAAAGTTATGTTATGAAAACTAAATTTTTAAATTTTTGTAACAGATTAGAAGTTAGCTATATGAAGACTATTAACTAAAATATTTATACTAAGAGAAGTAAAATATTTTATACTTGAAGAACCTAGATACCTATAAGAATACCCAAAGAATTAAAAGTATTTTCATAAATTCACTGTGATATTTTATGAAACTTTATCTAAGAAGGTCATGTATAAAAACAATGCTTGAAATATAAATATTGCTATAAAGCCTGAAATCTAATAAAAATATTCATTACTGTAAACTGTAAAACAATATGATTGCAAAAAACTGAAATCAAACCTTGATGAGGCTTGTATCTCAATGCACGGGAAGCATTTTCTCTAACAAATGCATGTGTTTTCATCATCAGCCTAGCCTAAATAAATAGTTAAAATGATAAAATATTATTTCTAGAAAAATACACTAGCTTATGAATACATGAGATGTAATAAGATAAAATTTAGTATAAAATGGAAGTGAAACCTGAAAATATGTTTTTATCTAATTTTATGTTTCAAAGTGTCATGCAATACCAATCCTTCTCAAAAGCACTAGTAAAATCTTTTTAGATTATATACATAAATATTTTTAAAAATTTCAAAAGAAAATTGGACAAATACAAAAATTATCACATTCAATTCAAAACTGTTGGAAGTATTTGGATCTATAAAAAAAATCAATTAATTACTTCCAAAATAGGCTAATTTTTTCTGGAAATCATTTCAATCATATATTGCTGACACACATATTCGACATTTAAACTCCCAAAATTCAATACAGTAAATTTCCTTTTTTTTTTCCCAAAAACAATGTCAAATGAAATTTTTCCTCTTACTTTTAATCCGTGGCTTAAATTGGTAAAGTTAATTTTAATTTATCCTTTTGGGACACAGAGCTAAAAAATTTAAGAGCAGTAAACTCAATGGAAACTTGATCTTAGTAGTTAATCATGAACTAAGCACCAAAAAGACAAGCATGGAAACAGAAAATTAAAAGACTGATTATAGCATAGTTTGTGAAGATATCTGGTCTTGAGAGAATTATCTTTTATGTAGTGTTTTCTATGGGAAAATAAATGTTCTCATAGAAAATCCTTGATGAATGTACTCTTTTCAACAACTCCTTTCAACCTGCTTTTCACAGGTTTAATAACACAGATAGCAAAACAATGAAACGCTAATGCAAGAACAAACATATTCCACAAAGAATAAAACTCTGAATGTAGCTATTTACATAGTAACCAATTTTAAAATAAGCAAAACAAAGAAGTTTTCATAATGCAATTTTGATGCAAAATATATTGAGTTAATATTTAATTAATTATTCTAAATTTTATGTTTTTAGGTTAATTTCGCTACATTTCACAATTTTCTAAAAATTTTATACTAATAAAATCCCAAGAAGAAAACATTTTAACAAAATACTTTCAAACATGATACAAATAAAATTAGTAATTAATATATATATATATAATAGTAGTAGGTAGAAACAGTATTTATTATTTCATATCTTTTTGCAGCATTATGCGCAAAAATTTTTTAAGACCAATAGGTTTTACGTCTAAATTACTTGTTAGCTTTACAATTTCTTTTTCAATTATATATATATTATTTTGTTAAAAAGTTCTATATATATATATATATAAGATAAAATTATATAAATCAGAATTATAATATAATTATAAACATTAATTCTTCCTCTCTATTCTAAAATCGTAATAACTTCTCTGCATTGCGTCATTTCTAGATCACTCTATGGTCCGCACAACTCTGATGACGTAATAATTAAGAACTGAAAATGCCGTTGGAAACCAAAACGTTTCTCTTTGCATTCTTCCATCTTTCATAATAACGCACTTCAGCTTTTGCTCTCTACTGTGCTAAGATGTAGTTTCGCTGGCTTGCTTTCTATCTCAACAATATCAAAAATGTAAATCTTCTGTGGAAAGGCACGACTAGAGTGCCAAGTGATTGTGGCCACAAATATCAGTTGCAAACAAAAATGGAATTAAAACTGCCTCGACTGCCAAGTTCTTTAGATATTACCAAGTTAGCATTACTAGCATACTACGCAATCAAAATATTCTTCAATATGGGTCTAATCACGCATCTACAGTGTTCTGTCTTTTCCTTTTGCTTTTATTATGACATATATATATATATATATATATATATAATAACTGTGTGAATTAACTTAGTACCATTTAATAGATTTAAAGCAAATTGGAAATATTTACATAATAAATACTAGTTAAATTTTCATAGAATGCTCTGTAATGGATTAACACTTCAGATTAAATAAATAATTAATCATACAAAGATCATTCAAGTTCATATCACATAATTATATGTATATGTGAACTTTTATTGCTGAATAATTATTATTCGACAAATTAAAATTCAATGTGTACGCAAACAAAATTTTTAAACAACTTGGAGTATTTCTGCCATAAAATATCCACAACTAAGCAACTCTCTAATACACAAACTGGAAAGATAAATATTTGCTAAAAGTGTTTGTGTTGTGAGGTATGTAGATAGGTTTTATTATATATTTGATTCTGATTAGCTAGAAAAGGTAACAAATGCATGCTAGTAATATAAATTTACAATGTGTCAGATGACATTATTTTATAAAATTAATTTATAAACTTTATGACATGAAGCATTTATTAATGAATTTTAAAATGTTAAATTTTAAAATTTGATAATAAATTCATTTATAAGCATTATTTCTTAAACAGAAATAATATTTTACTTTTTTAATATGCAAGTAAATTAGATCACAATCTGTAAAAATTAATAAAAGTAGTTTAAATAAAAAGGCATGTAATTAATTATAGAAAAAAGCTTCTACAAAACTTTTAAATTTCCAAGTCATAACAATTTAGTAACTATAATATATAGTTTGTAAATTGTTTGTAGGTAGTTTGTGTAGTAGTAGCTCTTTGTAGGTGCTTTGTGCTGAATAACTTCATATATATAATAAGCACTACTGTATTTTTAATGATATATGTAATGACAGCAAGAAAACGATGGAGCAGCGTCAATGCGTAATACCCAGATAGGATAGATAGTCGATCCATGTTGAAGAGGAAGAAATCTGAATTGCATAGCATGCTAATATGTTGAGTTCATATTATTTAAAAAATTTGACAATCGAGTCAGTTTTAATTCCATTTTTATTTCCAGTTGACCTATGTAGCCACAATCACTCGACACTCTAGTCGTGCCTATTCACAAAGTTTCAGTTCCCAATTATTACATCATCTACTGCGTAGGCAGTGCAAAGAAATGACACAATCCAGAGACATTATTATGATTTTTAGAATAGAGAGGGAGAATTAAATTTTTACCGTTAGTTTAAATTATAATTTTGATTAACATTTTTTTATCTTACATATATATTATATGACATACACACATACATATATGTATATAAGCAAAATAAAGTGAATATAAATGCATGTATCAAAATTTTTAGTAACCAAAAATTGTATACCTGCTCAGCTAGTATGATGAAAGAGGAAACTGGTGGTAAATTATAAGACACAATTATTCTGGCTGGTATCAGCAGCAACCCAAATTGATATATGACAAAGAAGAAGCAAAATATTGAATCATACAGTCCTAAGAATTATTAAAAGAATGAGATAAGTTTTCTTTATGCATAGTAAAACACAGAGATTTAATTAAGAATTTAATTAAAACTCATTAAAATGTTTTATATAAAAATATCACAGATTATTGATCAATAACCAAGGCTAAAGGAGCTTTGCATTTTAATTTTTTTTTAAAAATTTATCTCAAATTAGTAATTATAACATAAGTTACTTTTGAACAGTGAATTTAAATAATTTTAATAATATGTTTAAATCACTAAAACATGTTTAAATTTTAAAGTTTCTAATTTCTTTAATTTCAAGACTTATTTTTTCCTTTATAAAGTGTTGTCGGGAAAAAAGTGTGCACTTTGAAACTGAAGATTTATCAAAAATACCAGTTATTCCAAAGTAAATTAATTTTTTTTATATTACTACAACAGAAACAATTTTTATGGTAGTTTCCCGTTATCTGCCCAGCAGTGAAAAGAATCATCGGCAACATATTACATCACCAGAGTAAGCAACCTAAGATATAATAAACGAGTACTTTTATCTGGCAACCCACTAATGGTTGCATTGCACTATCCCAGCATGTGGTGCATGCTATTTTGAAATTGGAGGGTTATATTTATGATTTCTACTTTGTGTGAATTTTTTTTTTTTTCTTATTAAGATTCATTATGAATCTGTGGAGTTTGCTAAAAGGTAAATTTTAATATGGATATTTGTTGTGTTTTTAATTTAATTAGTTTGTTACTGCTTTACGAAATTTTGAGCATTTCATTATGAATGTTTGTTTTGACTAATTTGAGCATTTAATTTTGAATGTTTTTTGCATTTTTAATTTTGATAATTCATTGCTGTTTTATTATATAATTTTCAGTGCATTCTCATTTTAAAAAAAATACTTGTTTGTATTTGTTAGGTCGGCAAAAAAGTAATCCCCGATGATTGGCGACTTTGTGGAACAATGGGTAGATATGTGAACTTACCCTATTTGTTAACAAACTCAAGCTGATTAGTAAAAAAATTACTAGGTACATTTTAATACTACATTTGCCTAGAATCAATTTTCTATTAATGATAATGAAATTAAAGGAAGCATCCTAAAATTGAATAAATACTACATATTTTTATCTTTTATTTTTTAAATGCTGGCAATCAAAGCTTCGATCAAAGCAGAAAAAAGTCTCCGGAAAAGAAAGACCTTTTTCCTGGCAGGTGCATGTATTGTTTAGTAATAAAATAACTGTGTGGCTTTAAAACCCCTTACCTATATCCGGGTAAAAATAAACATTCCTATTTGAGAAGTAAGCAAACACCATTGTGAAGAGCAGTGATTTCAATGTGCGACCACCGAGCCTCTAGTGCATTGTGTACACAATGCTCTAGTGCGCAGTGGTCGCACCCTGAAACCGCAAAGCAAATGCCATACATATAGAGGTTTTTTTTTTTTTTTTTTTTTTATAAATGCAGTTTAATTATTTCTATTTTTATTGTTTATGATAGAAATCATGATGTGCGATGACTAACTTTTGAAATTTAAATTGTTTATATTAATAAAAGGAAGTTATTTTGTCTCATTGAAAACAGAATTTTAAAAGGCATCCGATTTGAAGTACTAAGACCTAAAACATGTATGATTCTGTAGTCATTTTGTGTTATTTAGAGGTAAACAATCAGTAATCAATTGATTTTCACTCAAAAATTTTGGAAGAAAGAGGAGAAAAAAATTCGAAAATTGGTGGTTTCAAGGCACGACGACCGTGCCGTCAAAGGGTTAAAAAAAAAAGGGGGTATAGAATTTCCATGACATATTATTATTAGAATTTTTTCCATTTATTGCAGATTTAAATGCCATTGAAGAATTAGAAATTTAATCTACCTGTTGCTTTAGTCTTCTCTTACATTCATGAGAGAGTTTTGTTTTTACGAAAATACTTTCCTCTCTGGCTTCTAGGTCAATTATGAGATCATTGTATGATTTTGGAATTGAAACTAATAAAAGTGCTGCTAAATGTTGATCTGGAATGTTCTCATTGATAGATTTCAGTCTTTTGACTTAACCCATCATGTGAATGATATGCACGTTCATATCAGCATCTTCAGGTATTTTTATCGAGTATAATTTTCTTGGAAGATATGGTTTGCTGCTCAAATTGGAGCACTCATGAACTGACTTTCATTGAAGTTACTCATTTTATCTCTAACATGGATAGTCTGAGAGTCATCAATGCAATACGTTTTTGTAATATATTATATAAAAAAAAAATTTTAACTGCCCCCTCTGAATGGCTGTACAGTGAGTAAGATAAGTACCTAATACTAACTTTCACATATTCATTTGTTGATCTTGCAGTTATTCTAAAACATATTCATAAAACTTTTATTAATACATGAACAAAACCACTTACTTTTCTTCCAAACAAACAATCGTGTATTAGCCCAGAATCGAAAAATAGGATAAAGCAAGAAAATTATAGAAAACATCATTCCAAACCAAGTGGCAGCATATATGTGAAATTTGCCAAATGTCCATAATACAACTGATAAATCCTTTTTCAATCTGAAAAAGCATAATTTTAAGACTATATATAAATAGAAGTCATCTACCAAAAATATGCCAAAATCAAATTTTAAATCAGAATAATCATCAAAATTTATAAAAAATTTAGATTATTAGCCTTTTTTAATAATATTCCATGTCTACAAAAGTCGTTATGAGACCTTTATTTTTACAACAATTGGTACTAGACATACACGTACAGTTATAAAAATGTTTTAAATGATGCAAATATTATTATCTTTGCATTTTTTAATTTAAAAATTTTCAAAATGTTAATGAAGTCAAAAAAATTTATATTCATTATAAAGAATAAATTTAAAAGATACAAAAGAATGACAGAGATTGACCGATCTATTTAAAGCTCATATTCAGATTACACAAACTGGAGAGTGAAATGTTTGCATTTGTACAGAGACAAAAATAAAATATCAGTTTATGAAAAAAGTTTTTGATGTTCATAAATTAAGCATTCCTGTGCAGTTTATGATAAAATGTGTCAATTGGTATAACTTTTTCAAAAATAAAATCTTACTCCCAGATTTTATATAATTTGTTATTTAGAAAATACTGGTAGGCTTCAGTATTGGCACATAGGCAAGTTGTAACACTATTTCCATAAATTAAAAATATATCTAGGCTAAAAAATTTTCTTTGTATGAATATCAGTTTATAAGTCTTAATAAAACTTCAAGAGAATATTAATAGTGTATTTTTAGAGTTTGAAAACTCATGAAATACTTGATTGAAAATCATTTTGGTATACCAAATGAAACAAAATTTTAAATTAAGGAATTTTAAACACTAATTAAAAAAATTAAGACCTGTCCTATTAAAAGCTTGCACTCTGCTAAAACAAGACAACAAATCACAAAGGAGTATCACTGAATATTATTAAATGCAAAACATACACCTTGAATTAATTAATCTACTTAACAAATTTTGAAGGCAAGTTGAAAGCGACTGCAAAAATCCTGAATTTTGAAATGAAATATCCCGGCCAATTTGTATATCTGTATGTTTATGTTACCTATGTCTGTATGTTTATGTTACCTATGTCTGTATATTTATGTTACAATTCCCCATGTCTGTATGTTTATGTTACATATTTATATATTTAAAAGAAATGCACTTTCAGCATTAAAAATATAAAAAAATACTAATAAACTGAGGATTTCTAAAATGCACATTCATCGCCTTTTATAATTTTCTAACATTCACTCTTTCAGGTTCTAATTTATCAATTTAATTGTAGAACAAAATAAATGTGATACTGCTGCCAAATCTTGCTATTAAAAATATTACAAAAATAGAATTTATGAATTGTTTTTTATTTATGATGAACTAAATAAATGTAAAGTTAAACATGTGAGACTTACTACTGAGACTGTAGTCCTGATTAATTCTTTGATTGAAATTTCACAGCTGGAATTTACTCATAGCAAATACTAAAATAATCACGAATTCATACCAAATGAATACTAAATGATCCCAATGATAATAATGATAATACTATAATGACACAACAAAAATAAATGGTTTAATGAACCCCCAAGAAAACTGTGCCAAATAAATCACATAACTAAAACTATTTATCAAATTTGAAAAGTGTATTATATGTGACTGTTTATATTATCAAAACTTATTAATAATAGTGAAAATTATAAAACTATCAAAAACTTATTCCAAAACATGAATTGCAAAAAATCTTCAAAATAGTTTTTCAGATACCAAGGTATATCAAATAAACTTTAATATCCACATAACATATTCAGACATGTTTAATCATCGAAATTATAATACTAATGGTATTTTTGTTAAACAGAAATTATACAGAGAATAAGGTACTGTTCTGTTATCAGGATCGGATCCAGAATGTATGTATGCATGTATATATGGATGGATGTGTTCATGTATGGATGTATGTTACTGTTAAAGTGTAAAATCCATTATTTCATAGAATAACTAGGTATTTCATGAAATAACTAGACAAGTCAGTTAAAGTATATAAAATTATTGAATTCTACTATTTAACTGGGTATTCTTCTATAGAATAATGATTACTTGATCATTAAGGTATAAAATACGGCACTCGAAAGTTCTTTGAACCAGTTCTAGCTGTTTTTAGTTAGCTCTGAACCAATTATAGCTGCTTTGCTATGATGTATGTGTGTGTGTATGCTATGCTTTATTCTGTTGCTTTTAGACATAGAATTTAGATGGTGTATTTATGTTAGCATTTTACATTTTGGATTATTAACAAACATTTTTTAAACCTGTTTTCAAGCAATGATTTCTGCAAAAATGAGAGACCAACCTCTAAATAAGAAAGATTTAATGAAAGAGAGAGCTGAATCTTTATTGAATAAGCATAGGACAAAGAAAAACAATGCTGAACTTACTCGGGGAAAATTAATAACTTTGATAGCAGAAACAACAAGAGCTAAAACAACATAGAAAAAAGTACCACAAGACTAATGGTTACTCCAGCATTGATATCCTTGAAATTCAAGGAGTAGAAAAGTTAATTGTGCCAGTAATAGATGCAAAAACCTGATGTGATGTTTTATTGCTCAAGTGACATGCTTTTTGATATTTTATATGAAATACATGTTTCTGTTGGACATGGTGGTAGAGATTGCATGATAAAAGAACTGAATCTTTGATATAAAAACATTAGTCAGAATGACATAAAGCTGTTTTTGAGTGTTTCTGAACCTTTTCAGCAAAAACAAAATATGGGAAAGAAAGGCATTGTGGTTAAGTCCATGGTGTTTTCACATCTGAATTCAAGACGTCAAGTAGATCTCATAGATTTTCAGTCTCAACCAGATGGAAACTATAAATTTATTTTAGTTTACCAGGATCATTTGACGAAGTTTGTGATTTTAAGACCTCTACAAACAAAAAGAGCAGAAGATGTCACAATGCATTTGCTCAATATATTTTTTTTATTTGGTTCCCCATGTGTACTACAACCAGACAATGGAAGGGAGTTTTGCAATAAACTTATAGACTTGAAGAAAATTTGGCTGTAACTTAAGATCATAAATGGCAAACCCAGACAGAGTCAAGGTAACATCAAGGGGGCCAACAAAGACGTCGAAAACATGTTAATAACTTGGATGCAAGACAACCAATCTACTTCATGGAGTCATGGCCTTAAATTTATTCAGTTTATGAAAAACAGGACACTTCATTCTGGTATAAAGAGAATGCCTTACGAGGCTGTGCTTGGCTGTGTTCCTAGTGTTGGACTATCCACAAATGTTATTCTAAAAGAGTTTGATGCAGTAGAGGATGAACAACAGTTTGAAAACGCCTTAACAGCTCTAACTGAATGTTCTGAAAGTGAAGACGATGCTGGTTTTGCTGAAGAAGCATCTTTGAATAAAACTGTAAAAGTGCCTTTTGAGCGTTATGAAGATACATCCCTGAATAACACTGTAGAATTGTGTGTTGTGTATTCAAAAAATTGCTGAAGCAGCTTATTTTGTTGTAAATGTGAGCAGCCAACCCACGTTTCATGTTTAGAAGTCTGTTACACAGAAGATAAAATTGAACATAAAGTCTATAGCTTGTGCCTAAATAAAATAAATATTGAGAATGAAAGACAAGGAGCTAAAGAATGCTTGGAAATTCAAGCTATGAAAATGAAATTATTGTCTGGAAAATCTTATTCTGAGGCATCTCTAGGCACTATGGTTCATATTCCAGTCCCTGAAGTTGATAGAGATAGAGGAGACGCAAGATCTGTTTAGCTGTCGTTATGAAAAATACTGGGGAAGGATTTTTCCAGTTAGGAACAACAGATGGCGGAATAAAACACTCAGTTCAGTATGTGCGAGCAAGAATTAATTTTCATTGAAGAAGTTCCAAATATTGACACAACGCTTCGATCTGTTGCAAAAGCTCAAAGTTGTGGCATTGGAAAAGGATTTAGAAAGTGCTCGTGTAAAAAAATGTGTAATAGTAGAAAGTGTGCTTGTTTAAAAATAATATGCAATGCAATTCAAAGTGACATCACAGCAATTCTTGCTCTAATAAATAATGAAAAGTAAAATAAAGGTATTTCATAAAATTTAAATTAATATTCTCTTACAATTTTGTTTGAAAACGTTTACACGATGTTTTCATGAAGCAACAGTTTTTCTTCCCATCATGTATTTTTATTTTCATACAATATTTAAATATAACTATTTCTGCAATATATTCTTTTTTTTTTTTCTTTCTGTTTAACTAATGTTAGCAATATGAGCAATAATAAATTATATCATCTGCTTTTCCTTATTATTTATCAATTAATCCACAATAGGGATAAAATGCATTTTTCAAGAGATTTTAGCTATTTATGATAAATTAATTTATAAAATAACTTTGAAATTGTTTATTTTTCACTTTAACGGTCTATGATTAGTTATTTCATAGGATAACTAGGTAAAATATGAAATTTTTCATCTATTATATACTTTAACCGACTTGTTTAGTTATTCTATGAAATAACTGAATTATACATTTAATGGTAACATATACACATATAATATATACATACATTCGTACATTTCTGAGTCTGGTCCCGATAACAGAACAATACCGAGAATAATGCAGATCAATATATTATCCAAAGAAAAGTATTTAATTCTTACTTCTGAGAATCCAAAGAATAAAATATAGTGATATTCAGATACATAAGAAGGAAAATAGCAAGGCAGATGTTGTACACAGAACTGAGATGGGATACTTCCCACAGATTTCTGAAAATAAAAATAAGTTGTGAATAATGAAAAAGTTCTCTCTAATAATTATTTTACAATTTTACAACTTTTCTATTAACAAGTGAAAATTGTGTATATTTTTTTAAATCTTAATAATTGGCATAAATTTATGCTTTTTTTTATTTATTATTCTTCATACACAGTAAAAGAATTCTCAATTTATGTGTTTGAATCAGTCAAACAGACAAATTTTGTAATTCAGTTTCATGCAAATTCTGATACAAAACTAAAGCAAAAATAAAATGCCATCTTAGGTCAATATTTATAATATGGTTATGAAACCGAATAATTTGAAGGCAAATAACTTGCAATCAACATATATTTGATTATTAATCAGGACAAAAAGAATTTGAATTATATTTCAAAGAAAAAGTTATTTAATAATACTGCTCAATTAGATATTCCATACAGAACAATGCAAATAATTTTAATTATTCTATTAAGCATGTAAAATATTTTAATGAACATAATAATTGTAACATTCAATAAGACAGAGCATGCAAGTACAGGATGCAAATAATTTTATTGTTGCAGTACATACTTTATGCAAATTTTATTGATGATAATTTTACAAATTATAACTATTTAAAATTATGTAATTTTACATAGTAATCAATAATTATTTTATAGTATATTATACTACAAAAATAGTATTGCCTTGTAAGTTACTATATTAACTTGTAGGTATATATGCAATGCTGAGTAATACACAAAAGTATAATGGAAATAATTTTTATTTTAACAATAAATATTTTCTCAGTACTTCAAAGGATATACTGAAATGAAAAAATTGCAAACTCAAATCAAAGAAAGTCTATATACATATTCTTTGCCCAAATTCAAGATTTTAGAACTTTTAGGGGCAATGCAACAGACATAAAGTAATCGGAATAAATAAGTAATTTCATGAAAATACATACTTATTTTAAAAAATGCAGGCCAAGACAAATATTTGCATTTTAAAGGAGTGACAAATAAATGATTAAATTTTCTTAAATTGTAACAACCAATTAATTCAAAAATAAAGTTTACACAAATTCTAAAGACTTAATTTATCACTTTCCCAATGGCTAAACAACATCAAATTTTTTCATTCATGAATAATTACAACAGCAGTGTTTTAAAATTCTCAAAAAAAAAAAAAAAAAAAAAACCTAAAACTGGAAATACGTTAGAGTTAAGTAGAATTAACTTTAATTCTGAGAAATAGGCCCCCCTTCTTCAGAAACAATGTCATAAGAGATTAAAAAAAGAATTTGACAGACGAAATAAAAATTTGAATATTTCTAATTATTTATATCTGCATTAGTTTGCTCTAATTTTGATAATTATTTAATATCTGTTCTTTGTTCTAAATGGCAAATATGGACCTGACTGATGATCTTTAGAATAAAATAGGAGTTAGTTATATAAAATTTCTGAAACGTAAGAATTTCAGTGGAAATTTAATGCAGATTTAGCAACCTCTTTGTAAAGGATGAGAGGTCTGTTGTAAATAAGATGATGAATTTTCTTCCTTTAAAAAAAAGTTCAGAGAGAGAGAAAGAAAATATATTTACATCAACTAACATAGGGAATTTGTATATTATTATTTATGGGTATCATAAGAGATTATTATTGTTATTATTATTATTATGGAAATCGATGGAGATTATATGGGAATGTTATTTTTATAACGTGGCATTAAGATATGGGAGTGTACTAAGCTGATCTAGAATGTACGCACCGTTTGCGCATATCGCCCGCGCACGAAAGTCACTACAAAGGTCGCGCATGCATAGTTACATCGTTCAGCTCGAGAACGAATTGGCCTAGCCACTTTGTTTGTTTACGATAGCATTTGAAGTCATTATCCGTTGGTAATAATGTTTAAAACAATAGATCAGCCCGCCAGCTGTGAAATAAGAGTCTTTAGTAAGTTTCTGAATGCAAGAAATGTTCGACCTCGGGAAATTTATTGTCAGATAAGTGAAACTTAAGATATTCACGATTTCTGATTTATCAATGCATTTTCAAAAATTTCATGATCCTTATTACACGAAATTATGACTGAATATTTGCACTACAAAAAAAAACTGTATTCCCGATGGGTACCGAAAACACAAACGGATGTTCAAAAACGGAAACACATGCCAGCAGTCTTGGAATTTTTGCAGCGTTAGGCGACAGAAGGAAATGATTTTTTGAAAAGGATTGTCATGGACGATAAAACATGGATTTTGTTGAGACACCTGAAACGAAACGTCAGACACTGGAATAGCAGCATACTGGTTCCCCGAAACCCAAGAAAGCAAAGCCACCTCTTTCTTCAAGAAAAATCAGGTACACCGTCTTTTAGGCAATCAAGGAACTTTGTTTGTGGACTGGATGGAACTAAGCACAACAATCAACACGAACTTATACTGTGAGACATTGAAGAAATTATGGTACGCGATACAGAACAAAAAGACGTGGACTATTGACTTTTGGTACTCTGTTCATACATTACGATGTACGATCACATACCGCATGCGTAGCGACGATGCTGCTTGATTCATTTTGCTGGGAACAATTTTGTCATCTTTTTTATAGTCCGAACCACCTTTTTATTTCGACTGTTCGAAACTCGTTTGACTGAACATCCGACTTTCTCCATTTGTTTACTGATTCCAAGAAACTTCTTGCCGGCAAGCACTTTGCAAGTGATGATGAGATCAAGGTAAACATTCAGAACTGGTTCAGGTAGCAGCAGCCGATATCTTTTAATTAGTGCCAAAATATGACACATACCTTAATTCACATCATAAATATGTCAAAAAGTAGTTTAAGGTGTGTAGATTTTTCTCTAATAAAATACAAATGCAAACAAATTGCTAATCTTTTTAAATATATAAACCATACTTACTTTCTGGATGAGCCTTATATTATGAGATGTTATATGAGATTATAAGGAAGAATTAAGCCCCGTAAGTTAACACATCGATAAGAGAGACGCATGCGCAAAAAGGGGGGGATTCTATGTCAGAGGTTTATCAATGCATGCGATTTATTACATTTATCAAAATTTAACTGGACAGGAATTCAAAGCAGGAGAAAATGCTAGTTAGATAACCTTTAAAAAATAGCAAGTTATTTATTGATAATTCAAATCATAAAATAGGAACATACGTTAGGGTAGAATTTCTTAATACAAATTCTTTTGGAGGCAGTTCCTTCGGTTTCTCAGTATCTCTATGGGGAAAGAAAATTAATATAGAAATTTATATCATGACATGAAAATATAAACTGCTGATACAAAAATAACAGCTGTCAAAAAAAAAAAAAAAGCATTAGAAATTTAAAGCAAAAAATGTAAATTACTTATGATATAGCTGCTTAGTAGTTATCCCATTTTTTGTCTTTCTTTGCTTGAGTTCCAGCTCCATTACTAAGCTGTCAATGGCTTTAAACAATTTGGTATCAACGTCTTTTAAAATATCACTTCTCAAAGCCTAGATATAAAATTCATTAAAAATTTAACATAAATTTATAATTATTATTCTATTAATTTCACATATGAGATATTCTTTAATTACATTGATTTTTAGATAGCATGTTACCTAGTATAAATTCGAATCAATAAATGTGGTAATAAGGAACATAAAATGCGAACATAGCACCACTTATATTGTTACTTTAGATTCGGCATTTCAAGGCCATCCTCCCTCGTAACGATGATAACGACTGCTGTGGAAGTTGATCAAGTTTCCATACTTAAAATTCCTTTAATACGATGATGATGATGAAGACGTTGCGACCTTGAAGTGCCTAGTTTAAAGTAACAGACTATAAGCTAGCTCTCTGGTTAAAAATAATCACACAAAATTCATGCCACTTGCATGAAATTTGCAACAACTAAATTTGGCTCTTAGAGGGGCATTAGCCAATTCTTTAATGAAGAAATATATGAAATGACATCAGTTCAATGATAGTGTAGTTCGTGTCATGATGCAAATGTAGTTAAAACATACAATTTAACCATTCAACGCTATATCGTATTTTGAACAAAGAAACTTTTCTTTTTAAATTAGAAATAGTTCCTTGCCAAACCACAACCACTTTATTTCTCCTCATCTGACTCAGCTGTTTTTCAAAGTGATACAATTTAGAAAGGTCAAGAATTTCAACAATTCACTCTAATCCGTGAAAGGTACAAAAAAGGCATTCTACTAAATCTTCCAGAAATATCAGCAGCGTTAGAGAAAGTGCGTATTCCGATGGAGTTTATTTCCAAGGTGAGAACTGTATTTCGAGCATTTCTCAAAAATTTTGAGCACCTTGATGTATTAATATTGCACGTTGATAATTTATGTAACATAAGCAAAGTGAAGCGCCAAAATATTAGAAACAAGTTTAAGCTACTTCTCTCATCCAGCCGAATATCACTTAGCAATAGTTATTCGGTTCATAAACTTGGGTTTGCAGGCGTCATTTATCATTTGATAATAAGCAGATTGTAAGGATCAGAAAAATGGGACGTTTATCTAAAGAGACAACAGGGGTAAAAGATTGTGTTTAATATGCTGAACAAGCCTCGTATGCACATGGAAACAGCAGGCGACTACAGTAACCAATCGTTTAAAGAAAAGGATTATGTCCGCTAATCAGATGTCAGTAAAGTGCTCAAACTGTCGATCAATGAAGTATACATCTTATACTGCTGTCTATGGGATATGTAAAACAGGTCGGCTGACAGGAGAACCACTGAAACGTCAAGGTGTTATATGCTTTAGGTGACTCAGAGAATTTAACTATGATCCGTAAATGATTAATGTCATATTATTTTCATTTCGTTTGCATCTATGGGACTGTTGACTCATTCTGTCAGTAAAAAGATAGTACAAACTAGAGGTAAACTTGTCCATGGATGAATTCTGTCAGAAATTCCTGTGCATTTTGTTAGTGGAACTGCCTACAAATACATTTCGCCAAACGAAATGAAAGTGCTGTGTTAGTTGGTGGTAGATTAGTCATGAGGAAGTATATTTTATTGATATTTGTAAAAATCGTTAGTGCAACAGCCGTCTTCTTTGAAAGAAATGAGACGCACAAATTTCATTGCAGATCATTTGTATTTTTTCATGTATGTCATTTATCCGGAGGCTTAAACCAGCAGTATAGTATTAAGTTCCATCATGCGAAGATATCAGCAAATCTGGCGCCAGAGCCGGCACAAAGTAGAATTTAGAGACGCCAAATTCTTTAGAACTAAGCAAAGCACCGAGCAGCAGAATTTAGTAACCTCAGAGATTGCAGCAGGGCGAAAAATGCCAGACTTCGATCCTGGCTATCACAAATTCATCAGTGAATTCTGGGATCTATTTTGATGGCCCCAAAGTATTCAGATTTAAACTATATACATTACTTTAAAATGAAGAGACACAAGTTGATCTAATTAAATGCCAAGATCCAAAAAACACTAAACAGGGCTGCATTAAAAGCAAAACCACAGATAATGCTGCCTTCGTACACCCTCACAATATTCCCAGTACCTTTTTTTTTATTCAATACCACATGCCGCGCTGCCTTCGTACACCCTCACAATATTCCCAGTACCTTTTTTTTATTCAATGCCACATGCCGCAAACGCAGTTGTTTGTTATATATAAGATAGACAAGTTACGGATCAGGTACCAAATGCCGCCTTAACAGCATTATGGACCTTTGCGCAAACCAGTATTCAGGGACCCCCTACAACAGCCATTTGCAGAAATGAAATATAAATGAATTAACATGGGGCCCCTATGCTCGTGAGACCCCCTGGAAAGTGACCAGTGGTCGCGTGGGTTAAGGCGGCCCTGCCAAGTATGCCTTGTGTTAGGCACTCAGTACGAATGTCCTCAACTAATTGCAAAGACCTCTTGATTTTACGCTTTTTTAATTCTCTCGTAAATAAAGCATCAACATTTTCACCAATAAAATTAAAATCCGTGGGTAAGTAAACAACTTTTAATTTACATCCGATAAAAACGTTACAAATTTGTAAATAGTAACCGTAATACTATAAATTCTGTTCTGAGCATCATAAACTCTAGAAAATACCTAAAAAACAATCTATTCCTTAAGAAAAAAAAAAAAAAAAACGGAAAATAAAATAAAACCTGAATAATAAGAGAAACATATAATTGAAATAACACAAAAACCATGTGAAAATAAATCAGTTCTTTACCTGACAGATAATTCTACTTATATAAGAATTTGGCACAACTAGGGTCATTTCAATTTGAGTATTAATGTTTATTAATAAATGATCTTCCTGAGTTCACTGCCCATTAAACTAATTACAAAAGAACTCGATGATCGTCTTTCTATTATACAACAAAGCTTAAGAAGTTGCGCCTTTAACTAAAGAAAATATGATAAAAACTAACCTTTGGAGATAATGACGTTGTACAGTTCAAGAGTTTAAGAAGTATTTGACAAATATGGCAAACAAAATGTCAAAATTTTAATTTGTTACGCGCGTCGAACTTTGTCCCAAACACCATACGAGTAGTTTTCAAGTGAGGGTAATTCATAAACATAGCATTCAGTGGATTAAATTTTTCACGAGATTCTTGATAAGATACCTGACAACATGAAAGGACAGATAAGAGCTGAAGCTCGCATATCGTATTTTGAAAACTGACACGTCACATTAAGTCCATTTTAACAAGGCATGAACCGGATAAAATGCAGTTCCTTATCAGAACACGGGAATGCTTTATGTGACACTTCATTTTCATTTCATTCGTAAATGCATAAAAGAATTTAATGTTCATTAAGTCAGAATACTGGTAGCAAAAAAAAAAAAAAAAAAAACCCGCGATTTCTTCCTGCAGCCTGCTGCAAGATTAGTTAAACTTTATAATTAATTATTACTGACTATAGACAGCCTGATAATATATATATATATTCACACTTTTCCCTTACCCCCGAAATTGCATTTACATTTTTAAACATACTACGTAAAAGAACCGAAAGCAGAGCCAATAACTGATTTTTGAAAGCAAGTCACATAATAGCAGAAGAAATGCATTCCGTATTTATTTATATATACAAATATATGCATCGATATATAGTTGTACCTCACATAACGAACGTCCAACATAATGGAAGGCCTGCATAAAGAACACACTCAAGACCCAAAAAATATCTCGCATTACAAAACGCAAGCGAATTTTATCACAAATAAACAGTGTGGAACTAAATTTGTTTTATTTTATGTTTTAAGAGTGGATAAATTTAAAAAAAAAAAAAAAAAAAAAAAAAAAAAAAGATCCATGTATAAATGAAGACAAGTACAGAAGAAGGCAAGTAAACATATTTCGTAATATTGTATTTCAAGAATTACGAGTCTTAACTGACCAGGCACATGAGAATAGATGAAAGTTTCTTCTGGTGAGGAGCCCATGCCAAATGCAACTATGGGGGATCTGAAGAAGTGGAAATGAGACTGATTCCACATTTCTCAAAGATAAAATTCATTTAATTAGTAAAGGGAACAGGTGCAGGTCACAATCAAACTGGAGCATTTCCGTAAATTGACATGAAGAGTGGATCTATTTGACAATACCAGGCACTATTTCACTCCCACCCTGTCTAAAATGATCGCGAGGCACAGAGTGATCATTTTAGACAACTTTTTGAACATTTTTAAACATCAGGCAAAGTCCTGAACCATCAGGCAAAGACAGACGTGCAAGAAGTAAAAGGGCAGCTGAGTTTTCAACCTCCAGTAGAAGGCAAGTTTCAGAATACACTGAACTAAAAAATTGTGAGATTGCGTACATATTTTAGAATAAGTAAATATTTTTATAGTTAATAAATTAGTAAATTCCTATGGTATTTTAATTTTCTCTGAATTTTTTTTTACAATATTTCTTAATTCTAAGCTGGAATGGGTTAATCAGGAATAGATGAAAATTATCCCATTACTAACCTATGGAACATAATGTCTGCGGATCGGACAACGTTTATTTGCAAGAAACCACTGTACATCCCATATACACGTAAAAATTGCATCCATGTAATAAGTATGACTAGTTAGTTGATTAAGACTAAGCATGCGAAGGTTTTCTGTTTCAGAAGTATTGCGTTCAGGGAGGACCAGCTTATCCAGTTAACCACTTGTGAGCCATATACTTGCGAAAAAATGCACTTTTTCCACTATGAAGGGAAAACCCATTATAGATGAGTTTAGTTTTCATATTTGGTAATTAACTGTGGCTTATTATGTTTTTCATTATTACTTACTGATGCCGATAAATGCATTGTTGCGTGCGAACGGGTTCGCAATGGACTGAATGCACACACAGCCGATGAGAGATTGATAAAATTTATTTTCCCAAAAGAAACATTTTACAGTTCTGGAACTTGCCACAAAAGTACTTGTACAGCTCTTCTCAGTATGATACAGCAAAATTAGTAGTTACCATTTCAGTACTAAGAATGTTAAACACAACACAGTGCATCCAAACAATGAACCTGGCACAAAGATCTCTCAATATTCCGAAGTCAACTCTGAACTAAAAACGGAAAATCGATGCTCTCTCCAGTCTCAGTTTATAGTTTTCCTCAGGCAACCAAGAAATTTCCAGTACCGTCGATTTCTCAAAATTGCCAGAAGAGATATACAGTTACAATTGTATATAGGGATCAACAAAATATCGGCGAATTCGGCTGTTTTTGGCATTTTTTCACTAAATTTGGGGACATAAAATAGTAGCCAAACCATCGCCAGCTTCCCGCTATCTCGCCAGTTTGGTTAGAGAGCTATTTGCCTCAATGTTAAATGGACCTGCCCCTGTAATCTTACTTTTCCGGCGGAGCTTAACTTTTTTGTGGCATTTAACTTTTATCACGCTACGTTATACAAGAGATACTACAATTTTACGTATAATTTCACTAAAATTATTTACATATATGCAAAATTCGTAACTGTATTAAATATCACGATTGTTATTGAATACTCAACTTAAAATGACCTTTTCAGTTTTAATATAAGGTATTTGAAATTGGTTTTTGTATTTTTGAGAACTGGTAATTGATAGGCTATATGTAAACATTCTTTTCTAGTGTCTTGATGTACTTGTGTTATTGTATTTCAACGAATATATTTCAAGAGTTTAGATTTAAGTTTTTAAGCTATCTCTAATATGGAGTAATGTGTATTGGTATTTTTACGAGTTTATGCGTTAACAAAGGCTAACAACTTAGAGACAGCACACATTTAAAATAAACTGAGGTCGGAATTTAAATTATTATTAAAAATACCTTTGATTTTAATGCCCTAGAAAAGAAAAAACTTTTAATTTATTAGAGCCATTAAGGCAAAAAGAATAAGCATAATATTAGTAAGCTTGCAGGAGGCCAACAGCTTGACTTCCTTCCTCTCATTGTTATTGCCTGAGTACAAGCTTCTCTTTTATCATCTGCAGCTGAAGAAAGAGGTTCTATGTTTGAACCTTAGAAACTAGTTCTGCAAATTTAAGAATATTACGCTGATTCTTTTCGCATTAACACTTCCAATAATCGCTATTCCAAATAACGATTATTAACGTGTTATTTTAATTCATTTCATTTAACTTTACTTTCAAGCCATTGGATTTAATGAGTTTATTTTACAAAGATAATCCATTTAATTTATTAGTTTTAATACCAATTAAGAGATTCACAAATTAGTTTTTTTCAATAGGCATGGCACCCAACAGTTTTAGGTAATTAATTAAAAGTTTTAGTCCCTATTTCAAAATTAAAATAAATTTTTCAGGCACATTTTCACTTAATTTAAAATTTTTAATCTTTTAATTTGTATTCCTTGATATTATTAATTAAACTTTGTACACAGCTTTGAAATTCCTGAATACTATTAATTAAACTTTGTACACAATAGAAGGCTCTCTGCCTAACGACAGGAATGCTTTCAAGAACGTTCTAAAGGAAAATTAGTAGCTCCATATTTACAAAAGCATTCTTACCTGCAAGAACGTCCTGAGTTCTCCAGGCTGAACGCTAAGTGTTTGCTTGTTATCAATCGTCCCGTTCGGCATGTTTCTTTCAGTATTTTTGGTTCCTGCAAGAAATAAAAATTTAATGCTTAAGAAATTTTTAGCATAAAATTTTATTAAAATAAAACTAAACATGGCGCACAAATAGAAGGCATCTCGCAACAGAAGATTTATTAATGCAATGATTTCTGTTAAATCCAAAATATTAGTTACTTTAATGAAGTGCCTAATTAATTTTACAGTGTACCTCATACATATTTCGAGCATCAATCGATACTTTCCAGGTTACTGGACAGATTATCAAATACATTTCGAGTGGTCCTTACAAACAGGCTTGATTTTTACTTTCAGGGGTCACTTAAAATACTTAATTTTTATTCTTTCAAAGGCAACATGTATAAAGGATTTATTCATTGTAAAGCTCAACAGTCTTTATTCTCCCTTGAAATAAAAGCCCACCAGCGGCTGAGCGGTAAAGTGGCTGAACATTGGTAGTTCGGTCCGAAGTTCGAATCCCGCGAAAGGGCTGGCTGCATGAGTGTTTTCGTGGTTTTCCCCATGTGTAACGTGTATACAAGCCAGTTTCCCTTAGAAAGTCATTATATTAGGCATTCCTCCCCTTAGGCAGATAGCCGTAGTGTGCTTTACCATAATTAAATACACCACACCAACACCACCCTCGAAATAAAAAGTGGTGTAAATGTCGGAAAAATTTATTTTAAAGGAAAATCTTGGAAATACAGTAAGACCCCGCTTAACGCGGGGATACGTTCCATCAAAGTAGAGCGTAATGCGAAACAGCGCTAAACGAGGCTATCTTAACATGTAAATAATGGGGTTAGGGGAAGAGGGATACAAAATTGGTTAGGTATTAAATTTAATAATTTTTTAATAAAAATAAAACCAAGCATTTATTTCTTACAAAAATAAAAAATAAAAATAATAATAATAATATATATAAACGAATATACTTACAAAAACAAATAAAATTCTCAGTCAGATCATTCAGTCTATTCTGTGTTTCCAATTTTCTGCCTTTTTGTCAAGAAGGCATCTAATGTAATTTGCGTCTTCCTTTTGCATTCTGTTAGAAGTTGTTGATAAGTGGATAAAGCATCTATAACACCCCGTCTTGCTTTTGAACTCCTGTCAAAATTTGGATCATTTTCAACAAATTGGTCCATAATTTCAGTTATAGTGGTCAAACTCCTTTTTACAAATGACATCGAAAGTTCTTTTTGCTCTTCTTCGAAATCACTACTATCAATATTTTTGTTTTCTTCTTGCTCAGTTAATTCCTTGAGCTTATCATTAGAAAGATTAGCTGCTGTTTCTTGAACTATTCCTTCGAAGTCTTCAACTGCTTTTAAAAAACTATCGTTGAAAACGTCTCCTTCAACAATAAAGCAGATATAGGAACTCGCATTCGTCAGTATTTCTTTATCTTTCACTTTATGTATAATAAAAATACAGTTATATAGTGCTAGCTAGTATTTGTGTGTACTCAACATACTTAAAGTTAAGAATCCGTCCGATAATTACTCCCGCTGCTTCCCCTATTTTGTTCACTGTCACAAAACGGAACATTGGACAGCTTCAGACTATCCAGAATAAATACTATAATTAATCAACAAAAGCCCCATCTTTATTTTGCAATTATGCACTACATCCGGATCTCAAAACCAACACAATAGAAAAAATAACTTGCATAATGCTAATGAAAATTTCTTTACTTAGGTAAAGAACAACAGCTTTGTGAATTATTCTAGTAACACAGAATATGAAGTGCTTACAAAAGGTTTCCACCTTCGCCCCCATGCATACTATCCTCTTAAAAATTATGCTGTGCACTCTTAAAGTCACATCTATTGACTTGTAAAGCGTTTATGAAATTAGTGAATTCTTTTTATCCAGCAGCTTGTTCTGTGAACAGCCCTTGAGAGAGTTGAATTCTCAAGCCAAAAGTACGTACTTTTAAAATTTACAAATGGATAATGTTTATTTAATATAGTGGATGTTTTGGTGTTTTGTGTATATAGCTGATATTCTGCATTTCTCAAGCACAACAGTATTTAGACATACTATTTATCTCCTTGCACAATATACAAGTATTGTAGTTTCTTAGCTTACAGGGTATTTCTCTCACTTTCCTAGCGTGCCTTCGTGGTGTAGTGGTTTGCACACTGGGCCGGTATTCCAGAGGTCCGTGATTCGATTCCCGGAGAAGGTGGTTGCTATTTTTCCTCTGCTGCTTCCAAAAATATACCTAATGTCTCTACAGGCTACAAACGTTTTTCTACGCGAAACAATCTCCCCTGGACTGCGTCAACACTCCCGATTTCCTTTTTGGCTATGCGGAGGTACCTTTTATGTCTGTCTCATAAAATCAAATAAATTAGTTATTTTATTTTGGGCATTGAATAGTTCTGGTTTTCTATCTTTTATACATATATTTTATTTGCATAAAAGCGACGCTATGGCCACTGCTGATATACTTTGTTATACATCGTGGTATACCAAACATTGTATAGTCAAGGAAGGAGTGATATACAGAAACAGGTGTATAATTTATGTGTCTTGCATCAGAGTGTACTGAACATTCCGTATTCAAGGAACGAGTTCATAATTATTTGCGTATAAACACATGTATATTTATTTATGCTTCGGGCGAAAATTTCATAAATAAAAGGAAGAGACTAGTTTGTCCTTATTTATTCTGAAATTTTGTCCCACTTGGTGAACTTTCTTTGCAAACTTAGAAAGTTTTGTAATTTGTTTATTTTTAGTTTAAATGAAGGCAAGTTACTTAATGATAATTAAACAAGTAAAGACATTAGGTATTTTGGAAGCAAGAGACTTGAGAAATGAGCAAGGCCTTCACCGGGAATCGAAGCTCTGGAATACGTGCCCAGCGTGCAGACCACCACACCACGAAGGCATGCTAAGAAAGTCGGAGAAATACCTTATATACTCCCCTTTTAAACGGCGACTGGTTTTTTTAGGGTAACCAGTCGCCAAATTCTGGGTGTGGAGCATCATCACCACAATTTTAGTTCGGTGCCACTGCAGAGGCATTAGGTATTATTTTGGAAGCAGAAAAGATATGGTCACTTTACTTAACCTGTTCCGCCGAACTAAGTTAATGGCACTACAGGGTTAGGAAGTCATCCTAGTCATTGCTAGCAATCTGACGGTTAGGCCGCCTTTCTACATTTTACATTAATCTTTAGTTTCTTGGATATAATTATTTTCATTCACTTGCTTCAATTATCTCTAAGAAATCCCACAGGATATGTGATGTAGTCGGAAGGAAAGAACTGCTATCGAAGGTTGCTCTGTCAGAGGGCAGGAGAGCAGGTAATGAAGTGCGTCGGCGTCTTCCCCGCGAAAACCGCAAGAACATTTCACGTCCCGTCTGAGGAATCGTCATCAGGCCTGCTGCCGCAGGTATTTCCTTCGGACTCTCACACATGGTACTCCACATCTATATACACGTTGGACTTCTAATCACTATTTTCTGTTCCCAAGTGTTCGTAAATTTCAAGGAGTCGAAAATCGTATAATATTACGCCGGGTTAGCGATCAAACGCGGGAACCTCTTGTTGCGAACTCTTCGAGTTTGCCTGAGCCGAGGAATCGTCTGTAATACGGTGGGAATTGAAATGAAAAATGAGCAAAGCTCTTGCCGGGAATCGAACCACGGACACCAGGGATACGAGCCCAGCGTGCAGACCACCACACCACGAAAGCATGCTAAGAAGGCGGGAGAAATACCTTATAAACATAAGAATTATTTGAAACAAATATCAGTCTAAGTATTTAATATTTAACTGTCAATATATTTGAATTACAAAGTGTTAACTAAGAAAAATATCTTGCAGATACCAAACAGGAAATAAAAATATAAATTTGAATTTTTTTTTCTTATGCGATGTTATTAGCTGTTTATACATGTTTTGATAAATACTTAGTAAGTTTAATATACAGTTAAAATTTATTTAATATATTTTTTTATTTTGATAGTAAAATTTTTCATTTTGTTAAAAAAAAAAGGGCCCGTCAGTTGTTTTCAGATTCTGCATGCAGTCCGTGTCCTATATGAATTTGAGACCACTGACTTAGTTGAAACGTATTCGAGCCACATAAAATTGCTTTGGGGCTGCTAGTTTGGAACCACTGCCATAAAAGCATATGTCAAAGAACATAGCTATGATATATACATGACTGAAAAATGTAAACGGGAAAATAGAAATGAAATCATTTGTCAGATATAGTATCTATTTGATGGAGAACAAGCATTACATATGCAAAAATTAATACAATTAATTGCATTCTTTAAACACAAAAAAGTGAATATTTCATTCTTTTCTTTTCAACAACTACTCAAAAAAATAATTTTAATGTTTTAATAGTAGGTTTTCCTCCATTAGCTTATGCGACAGCAGACAGCCTCGTCGGCATGGAGTTCCAAGTTCTTCCGTGTCATTCTTGATATATATCTCTCGCATATTTTGTACTAGAAACTGCTCTTCTGAACAGTCTCTTTTTTAGTTTTTATTTCATCTCAAAGATGTTTGATAAGTTTGAGGACTGTGCTGGTGTTTGGAATTGATTCTTAAACATGGTATAAAAGCTATTCCTGGTCTTCATGTAACGACACGAAGCATACTTTCTGTCGTTACGTGAAGATATTATAACATTGCATGATTATATGATTTTGCAAAAGCCAACCAACCTTTCTTGCCTGGTTATTTGCACTTATGAAAGTGTCCCTCCCCTTGGAACTCCGGACTGAAGCACTCCCCTTTCTGAGACACCAATAAACAGTTAAATAATTTTGCACTCAAAATCTAGGGTTCGAGTTAACTTTCTTTGTGAAGGGCCTCCTTTCTGGATCACTTTGGCGATGTTCCATTTCTTGGCATACTTCCTTAAGTATCAAACTTCTGAAAATTTGAAGTGTTTCTTCAATACCTTACATACTTTTCCCCTTCATTTCGTAATTTAATTATCATTTACCATGCAGCAATCGGCACTTCTGCTCTTTCATTGCACATATTTCCCTATAACTAAAATATCTAAGCGTTCTTTAAATCAGAAGCAAATTACTCTAATTGCGATAAACGAATAAATGAAAATATCAATCTATTGTCTTTTGGAAATTGCATCACTTCAGTTAGCTGCGTGTAGTCTTTAGTTGAAGAGTATAAGAAAATAATCTGAAAATTTGTTACATTTTTAAAACATTACTTTTGCGTAAAACTGTAATATATAGAATAAATATTTCTAAACAGAGAACTGAATTTTATTTCGCTTTTTTTTATTTTTTCCCTCCACCGATCAAGCGGCTTTGCCGTATTGAACAACTCATTTTAAACGAAATATTTTATATTACATTTAATCTACATCTTCAGTTTCTGGGGGCTCATTTTTAAACTAAATGATCTATCGTAACTGTTTAGCTTAAAACTGCTAATTAAACTGAAATTTGCATATCAGGATATGAATACATTTTCGTTTTGATCTCATAATTTTTACATTTCATTTTTTTTAACTTCCTGGAATTTGAATGCTAAATCTTCGAAGTGTTAGACTTAGTAAGATTTTTTTTTTTTTAAACATAATTTTACCTTTTAGAAATATTAGTCTTTCGCCACGAAATTTTCATGAAATATCACAACTTTCCCCATAAATTTTGCATTTTTTTCTCTGCGACAAAATAACTTTGAGATATGACAAATTAGTAAAGAATATTAACTAGACAGCTTTATTCGAAAAACAGATTTAATTACATTTGAAACTTTTTGTGCCACTTCAGCAAGAATCCCAAAGAATTAAGACTTCGCAAGTAGTCCAAGGTATTAAGAAGACTGTAAACAGATGTAATGAGAACGTATCCACTTTTAGCTTAAGGCACATTTCACAATAACACTAACTCGGATAGCGGAGAGTTGATAGCTATAAGAAGCAGTTCTTCCCCTCCCCTTCACATAACTGATTTCGTGAACTTAAAAACAATCTTCTCGTGACTGCTTAATTAGACTGGACGTAATATATGCAAATACGCGTCCTCGTGTTTCTTAACAGCCTATTTACACAATTCATTTCGCTTTCATTTTTATTTAATTCGCATTAACTGCTATATTTTTTCTTTAATACACTTGGAGTTGGAAAAAAAAAAATAGGAAATCGATCATAAAACAAATTTTAAATTTCAAATTTGGTCTTCCACATGCTCATATTCGTTGGAGGATTACGTTATTCAAAATTCGATGACTCTATGTACCGTTGTTTTATCACAATACGAGAAATATACATACATTTATGCAGATTTTTAGTCCAAAGGGATTTGAATCCCGAAGGACTATTAGTTTCGTTTTGGCATTTTGCGTCGGACTCATAAATGT